AATCAAGTACTGCTATTATTACATTTAGGTTCGAAGTTACTATTCTATATATAACTGGCAACGGAGGAAACGAGCTGTCAAATGCAGAATGATGAATGAGCTTAGACAGACGAACGAATTGATGAACTATTAGTGGCTACACCCAAATAAAATCGCTAAACAGCATGTTTGTAATAATCATGTATGCCTGTAATTGAATAAAATCACAGGCCTGTTGATTAATTGATTCATTATGGATTAATGGACGCCTAAGTGTATGACTCTAAAGAAATATATTCATCGCATATATACTTGAAGGTCCCGTTCTTTTTTTTAACAAGAGTTAGATGAAGATTATGATTTTTTGGCACGCTTTTTAAATTGCTAAACGGTGCATTTCGTGCGAAAACTTTCTATATAAAAGTTGCTCTAAAATATCATATTAATCTATTTTTCAAGTTTGTAATAATTAAAACTCAATCAATCATACGTTAATACCACCTCGTTTTGCGTAAAAAAAACTTAATCTTCATCTTTAGAAGAAAAGAACACCACCCAAATACACACACAGGCAAAAGTGCCCGTGCGTTGCACCGGGTGATTACAAAGTGTACAGTGAACAAAAAGTGTTGTTTGGTTTAGACATCTAATCTGGTAAAAAATTGTTTGTTTTTAGATAAATAATCTGCTTTATATTTGCGGAATATACATTATGTTTAGTTTGGATGATTTGTAGCATGGGAGAAAATGGATGGATGAACAATGCACGTGCAGAAAAAATAGATTATTTATTTGGAGTTAGTACATTTTTTTTAAGAAAAAATTCATGTGCGTTGCAACGGGAAAGATTTAAAAGAACAAATGAAATTTGGAATTAAAAATATAAAGAATATTGAAAGATGGGTTTAGAGTTCATATAGAAATAATATTTAGAAATAATAGAAAGGAATTAAAAATATAAGGAATATTGAAAGATGGGTTTAGAGTTCATATAGAAATAATATTTAGAAATAATAGAAATTATAATTTACATTGGATGAGAAGTCTAGAATATTCTCAAAAGAAGGTAGAGTGCATATAGGAATACAATTTAGAAAAAGAATTGAAATTCGAAATAAAAAAGAATATTTTTTGAAAATAAACAGTCATAAACAATTAAAATGGTATTAATGCTATTTCTGAAAATTACAAAAATACTTAAAATCAATAAGAGAGAAAACTTATTTAAGCTCGGCCCAATAGAGCGGCCTTCTGTGCTTCGCACGTGCGGTCGGCCCATAGGATGGCCCAAAAGCACGGCGGCCTAAAACGTCGCCCGGCCTGACGTGGGAGAAGCATGGACCGTCCGATCTGATGGATAGTCTCGATTAGTCCTGACCTAGATAAATACCATACTCTCTCGTAAAGCAACGGTGGCGGCGGCGACTATTCCAACGGGCGACGACGGCAGCGGCCTTCCCCACCGAGCAGCGACGACGACATCCTTCTCCCCCGCAAGCGGGCAGCGGTGCCCTGCCCTCCTGCAAGTGGCGGTGGTGGTGGCGCCGTTCCATCTCCCCACTGCAGGCTCCTTCTCTCCTCGTCAAGCGGTGGCCGCCGCCTCGCTCCTCGCCAGATCCGGCGGGTCGACGGCTCTCCAATGGCGTGGCGCTCGGGATTTGGCTCCTCCCTCTCCCTCTCGGCATCCAGCGCAACGATGGATTGGCAGCTTCTTAGCAGCGCGATGGCACAGCGGATCCCTAGCGCAGCGTCGGTCATCGGTTCAGAATCTAGCCCCCCGAGTTTGCGACCTCCACTGCAGCGAGGTGGCGAGAATCAGCACGCGACGGCCTCATCTTGTGTTAATATTTTTTTATGTTCTTTGATTTCGATTTATATTTGGACTGTAATTTTGTTTTTATTTGGGTTGTGATGATTTGACTTTTCAAACAATATTTTACTATTCATTTTATTCAATTGTGTAAATAAGCAAAAGCATAAGTCATACTAAAAATATCTTTAATGATAAAATCCTAATAATTGAGCTGAGTCAGCCGAGCGGGTGGGGCCCACGCGAGTAGATAAGGATCGATCTCGATCCATCCAGTCGCCGCCCCCTCCCCATCTCTCCCAGCCCTCCGCCCCTCAGCCCCCTCTCCCCACTTCCCTCCTGCTCCGTCCCCCTCTCTGAGCCGGCCGGCCGGCAACTTCCCTCCCCCTCCACCCCCTCTCCTAGTCGGCCGGCCGTTTCCCTCCGGCGAGCAGCGACGCATGCGGCTTCTCCCCTTCTCTCAGCTTCCCCACTTCTCCCCCCACTATCTCTCCACTTCTCCCCCCTCTCTCTCTCTCTGCGGCGGCGGCAAGAGGGGCGGCGATGCCCTCCCCTCCGCTAGATCGGGGAGAGGGGAGGTGCGGCGGCGGTGGCGGCGGACGTCATGGAGGGGGCGGGTTGGACGGCGTGGAGGCGGCCGGCTGGGCCTCGCCTCCGCCAGATCCAGCGGCGTGGAGGCGGCTGCGGCCCGGCGGGGGCGGGAGGGGCGGCGGGCCAGCGGACCGGACCTTGCCTCCGCCAGATCCGACGGGGACGGGAGAGGCGGCGTCGTCATCTCTTTCTCTCTCTCTCTCTCTCTCTCTCTGCATGGTGGGGAGGTGCGGCGGCGGTGGCGGCGGATGTCATGGAGGCCGCGGGTCGGACGGCGTGGAGGCGGCTGGCCGGGCCTCGCCTCCGCCAGAACCGGCGGCATGGAGGCGGCGGCATGGAGGCGGGAGGGGCGGCGGCATGGAGGCGGAGATGTCGTCTCTTTCTCTATCTCTGTGCATGGTACCGGTGGAGGTTCATGTGTTCTTGGTTGAAAGTTTGTTATGTGTGTTATTGATGGAATGTTTCATGTGTGTTCTTGATGAATTTCGACTGGAATTTTTCCTTTGGGGAGGGGGGCGGACTAAAAATCCCCGCATTTGGTTGTGCCGATTTTGGGAATTGTTTCCCTTGTATCCGATTGTGAGAGGGATTGGGGATTTTGGGAATTGTTTCCCTTGCATCCGATTGTGAGAGGGATTGGAGGGATTGGGAATCGGGGGCTGCGGGCGAAGGTGCACCGCGAGGGACGAAGGCGCCCTTCGTCCGACTTGTGACGACCGGAAAAATCCGAATAGTTATATTATATATATATATATATATATTTCATCTTCAATGATATAGGATATTAAGCTCTAATTGTAGCCAAGTTACTTTTCAATAACCTTCATTTTTACTACTTGGATATGGATTGATGGTTTTCGTTGGATTAAAGCCTCCCACGACCTCCATTTTACCGAAATAACATGTTATGGAGAGATTTTTGAAAGTTACATACAAGTTACACTATAGTTACAGTGTAATTACATGCAAGTTACAGTGTAATTACACTACGATTGTACTGTAATTACATCTGTCAAATTTTTGGGGAAAAATTTGTCGACAAATATATAGCAAAATCGTTTTCTCTTTACCAAATCGTTTTCGGAGGAGTTTGAACCAGTTCGCACAAAAAATCATACATTTGTGTGTTCGAAAGGAGCCCTATTCTTGGATGAAATATTTTATTAAGTAAATTTCAGAAATCTAAATGTACTTTGATCAAATTATTAGAAAGCTACCGATTTAACACTAAATCTATCATACAACTACATATTTAAGGTGAAATACCACAAAACTATATATTTAGTAACAAAATTATCACAAAATTAAAGGTTTATCGATAAATTAATAAAAAAATTGAACAATTATAAGTCCAACATAACATTAGTGCTAAGGATTTAAACCGCAAAATCTATAGATTTGTGATAATTTTATTATTAAATCAGTAGTTTTGTGATAATTAGCCTTAAACTTGTAGTTTTGTGATAAATTTATTATTAAATTTATAGTTATGTGATACATCACTTTAAATATATAGTTTTGTGATAATTTGATCCAAGTATCCGTAATTTTGTGAAATTTACTCTATTTTATTTCTTCCCTAGAAGAATCCATTGGCTTGTTTAGCCGAAATGCTAATGGTTAAACGTTTGAGGGTAGCGAATGTTCCCTCCAATCTAGATATGTTGTACGCGATGACGATGACATGTTTCCCCTTGGCCAAACGAGTTTTTCCCCTTTGTCCCTCTGCCAATTGAAAATAGGGATCTATATTGTCAAAAACTCGCTGTCTGTATAAAAACACGATTCATAGCTTATTCGCCATTTGTTAGTACAAAATAAATTAACTAATAAAATTGTTACAAGCGGAAAAAAAACCTTCTTGCCCTAGCCCACTTGCATCTCTAAATTAAACCCGTTGCAACGCACAAGCGTCTCACTAGTGCTTGTAAAAATTGAAGCGATTGTACACACATCATGCGGAGAAAGATGCACGAGGGAACCGAAGGGTGATAAGGTTTGTGTTTGGATGGTGCCCTTGTCTGAATGCTCTAGCTGAGGCTAGAAATTAAACGGCTGAGAACGATGCCTAAGGTGGTGTTTGGATCCAGGGACTTAACTTTAGTCCCTCTATTTAGACACTAATTTAGATTATTAAATATAGACTACTTACAAAACTAATTACATAAATGAAAGCTAATTCGCGTGACAAATTTTTTAAGCCTAATTAATCCATAATTAGAGAATGTTTACTGTAGCATCACATAGGCTAATCATGGATTAATTAGGCTCAATAGATTCGTCTCGCGAATTAGTCCAAGATTTAATAGTCTACGTTTAATATTTATAATTAATTTTCAAACATCCGATGTGATAGGGACTTAAAAGTTTTAGTCCCATCTAAACAGGGTCTAAATTAAGCGAGATTCTCAGAGCATATGATCCAAAGAGGTGCTGAATCTTTGACATTTAAGAAACTGTGTGTATTACAGCTAGTGCAAAACAATAATTGAGTTGAATTTCAATATTTCATCTATAATTTTTTTTCAAATTTCTGGTTTGTTTTTTATTTGACATGATTAGAATCATTAATTTTGACAATAATATATATAATTAGTGTACAGATGGCTACTTTTCCATGTGTTTCCATTAACAGGTCTTAGCAGCTTGGCCCCTGATAGATTTTATTGAATCACACACATATAGGATTACATATACACGCCATTAAGCGGTTTTTATTTGGGTATATTATATAGTACATGTAATCGATTCATTCGTTTGTAATTTGTTCTTTGAAGCTCTTGTCGGTATTCTCTTGCCCTCGCTGGGTTAAAAGGTTGCGTTTCCTCTTATGCCAGTAATGGAATAAGTTGGCATCTGCATGTAATAACATCAGTAATCTTTTGTTAATAACCTCGATTAAAATTAAAAAGAAATACAGTCTATCTCCGTTTTTTAATATATGACGCCGTGTTGACTTTTTAACAAACGTTTAACCATTCGTCTAATTCAAAATTTTTGTGCAAATATAAAAAAAGTTTAAGTCATACTTAAAGAACATTTGACGATAAATCAAGTTATAATAAAATAAATAATAATTACTAAGATGAATGATCAAACATATTTTAAAAGATAAACGGCGTCATATATTAAGAAATGGAGGGAGTAGTAATTAACTTGCAGAAAAATTATTGGCCTAAGTAAAAGGTATATGGACCTTTTTTCTTTACCTGCGGCGGCGTTGGCGCATTAACAGAGTTGCCACTGAGAAATGAGGTCCCATTGAAGCATGAGCCACTCACAGGGACACTGGTACTGTTGCCTATGTTGTGGTTCTAGCAAACATAGTTGAGGAGGACACATCATGATCCACTAATATCATATATTAATTTAACTACGTACTGTAAGTATATATGCCAAATACTTTCTCTGTCTCGTAATAAGAGATTTTAGAGGGATGTAATATATCATAGTCCAATCTGGACGGGCTCTCCATCCAGATTTAGAGCCCCTTTGAATCGTAGGAATGAAAAAACAGAGGAATAGGAAAAACACAGGATTCTGGTAGGAATACAATTGTAAAACAGAGGATTGCAAAACACAGGAAAAACACAGAAATGGCCATTTGATTGGACCACAGAAAAAACACAGGAATCAGATGAGAGAGATAGACTCAGAGGAAATGTTCCAAGAGGTTAGACCTCTTGCTAACTTTCCTCCAAAATGTGCATAGGATTACCCATTCCTTAGGAATTTTGAAGGATTGGATAGGATTCAATCCTTTATTTCAAAGGCCTTCATAGGATTTTTTTCCATAGGATTGAAATCCACCAAAATTCCTACATTTTTTTCTACAAATCAAAGGGGCCCTTATAATATTAGGATGTGTCACATTCTTTCAAAACCCTTTATTTTATGTGACAGAGGGAGTAGTATTAGTCATATATGCAACATTTAATATATATGTTGATTACCTGCATGTTGTTCATGATGTCCGTCTGCTCCTTGCCTTGCACCACTGGGCTGATCATCACACTGCTCCCATTGTAAGACATGGTTAATTATGTGTCAAGTGTTCTCTTTTGGTCTCTTCTATCTGTAGTGTTTAATTTGCAGGTGTGGCACTCTTGGTTCTTTGAGTTTACAGTGGTAACATTGGCCATGCTTTTATAGTGTGGAAAAAAAAAGCATATATCATAGTGGTGGTAGAGAATTTATCCTGGATAACATTATGTGGCTCTATTTTCTTCGTGGGAGAATAAACCTGTAGATATATATGCTTATAGTGAATAATATATGCTATATGTCAGCATGCGTGTCGAAATTATGAAGGTCTCCTAATTTAGCACGCAGAGAAGATACAGAATATAGCAAGTTAGCTTTAGAGCTTGCTCGGTTTGGAGGAAAAACAGATGATTTGGAGGAAACATTTGGGGAAGTCATCGTCTGAAATTTTTTGACTAATAGTTTAATTAAAAACATATGTGAGTTTTATTATATTTGTATTTTAAAATATTTATATATCATGTTAATTTTGCAGTTAGTAATAATATATTAAGAAATAAATCAATACTCAAAATATAATGTTGGCGACAATATAGAAATCTAGTATGGTCTCTATATTTTAGAACGAAGTAGTATTTAGAAATTAATGGAGGTAGCATTATAGAAGTCACTTCTTGTGTATCCAACAGTTAGCTGTCAGTGTCATGTAATTTGTCTTGGAATGTTTACAGTAAAGAGCAAAGGAGGAGCTGCTGCAATGGGAGGAGCTGTTTTGACCATGGCTCGTAGGCCTGATTCTATGGCCATTCTTGCTCTTATAGTTGCAGTTACCATCGCGATAACTATCGTCGTGCGCCTATATGTTCCTCTGCAAGCAACATGATCTTCAGATGAACCCACGGTAAGTTCGCAAAACGCAACAGAGTTCTTCTCTGATCACTTCAAATTCTAAGCTGTATGTATGGAAAATCGACAGAGTTGAATTGTATAAGACGGGAAAAGGCCTACTAGTATGAGTTCTACTAGTTCATTTCCTAGCCTGAATGCCAGGTGTATGATGAAATAGCAAGGCCTGGTACCAAGAGGCAAAAGAAGATAAGAGGTTCAGATTAATAGTTTTTCTCCTAAGTGGTAGATTGCTAGTCTTTCTTTTCTGTAGGGTACGTCACTGCTTCAGTGCTGAAGAACATCACAAAGGTTGTGACAGGGCAACCGGCAACAAAACTATGTTGAAATTGTGATGAACAACATGGCAGTTTATCTTAATTATTCTTCTCTCTTATCATTATATATCACCCTTGTTAGTAATCTGTAGTTTATCCTCTACTCTGGAAATGAATCAATAATCTAAGATTAGCCGATTATTCTACAGTTTCTGTGTTTGCTGCCAAAACAGCTAACAACTGATGAACAAGAAAAGTTATTATGGTTCAAATACTCAACAGCACCTGCTTTGACAAGGCATATACTCACTGTTGTGATGTCTTGACATCAACGTTGTGGCATCTTTTTTCCCACCTATTTGATACTGACTGGATGTCAATTAATTGTTACTGGACGTCAGTGTTGTGGAATCTTTATTACTAGTATTTTCTTCCATCGTGCTAGACTTTGATGAAGTGTTTTTACTGGATGTCAATTCTTGACAGCCAAATGTTATCCTAAGTCCTAACTAATCTTAACTCTCCCAAGTAAATGCAAGAAAACATCAAAACACTTACAAATCTAACTACAATCTTCCAGCCTTTGTTGTGAATTGTGATAGATTCTCACAAAAATAATTTGAACAGACGGGATCTTAGAAAAACATATAGCTCACGACAGGAATAATAACAATGGTGTGAAATAGACGACACGTTCCATGAGCAAAAGCTTTAAAACATAGGGAATGTTGATCTTTTTGTGGGTTGTGACTTGATAATTTGCTTTTGCAAATCTCTTGCCTTTTACTGGACGAAAGCTTGTGGTCTTTTACAATGTCAAACCCAATCAAAGGTGTAAAATAATAAGAGCCAGCAAATGTAATAATTCATCATGTTCACAATATAGATAGGAATTAAAAAAAACATCTATAACCAAGTCACTCGCATCATAATATATATGCCTTTTTTTTTTGTTGAAACAATTCATTGAAGTACATACACCAAAACAATAATGAATATGAAACACTGCTAGAGCATTAGAGATTTGCTGCATAAAAATGCAGAATCAGCACCCGTTCATCCTCAATCACAACTCTAATGAACCTTACCAATGTCATGCAGCGCATTCTGGGTGGCACAGACTCCTAATAGCTCTTGCAGCTTCAAGCAGCCAAACCAGCTATCCTTTTTTTCTTACATGGATATGCACATCGAGCTCTTGTATAATACATTAAATATTTAAAAAATATAAACTTAACATATAACTTAAAACAAGTGATCTAACAAATGCAGTGGAGAATATATATTTCAATCCGTGGAGTAAATAATCCATTTCAACAATCCCACCATGAATAATATGAAAACTAACAGGGTCTTATATCTTCTTGCTTGAATTCCAAATAACATAGTACTGCTCTTTATAGAGAGCCAACTAAACAACTCCATTCTAATTTCATGGAATGGAAACAACCAAAACAACTGGTAGATAGATAGATAGATAGATAGATAGATAGATAAACTGATAATTTCACCCACTCTGTTGCATCGCCTGTTGTTCGTGTGCTCCCTTGTTGGGCTTACGATGATAGATTGCAGGTGATACTGAATGACCATAATTACATGACGAGTAAGACGCCTGCAACACCAAGTTAGTTTTTATTAAATCTACTATTGAATATATTTTTATCGTATTTTACTTTGCTTTGGAAATGTTGTTATTTGATCAAACTTGAATAAGTTTGATTTAGGAAAAAACCCTTCATCGATTTGTAGTGTGAAAAGGAGTACAAGGTAAAAAAAAAAGTCTCAATTGAATGATTATTTGTGCCGTACAGATAAAAAAAACCATGCAAATATCTAACCATGCAAATATGCAGAAATTTGGCTAGTTGGAAATTAACTTGGAGTGACCCACGCATATAAGCATTATTTAGAGATGCACTTGATACTGCAGTGGTAAGAGGTGTATGGTTTCAACCCTGAGATCACGTGTTCAATCCCTAACATACTCGTAATTTCTTGAAAAAAAAACTTTGGATGGATGTTTCTCCCTCCAAATCTTGTTTTTTTTTAATATAAGCATTATTTACAATGAGATGTCAGATTACGTAACATAGTTGACACTTGACTGCAATGGCATAAAAGAAATCATCTCAATATAACAATTCTCTTACGTAACGATATAGGGGGAGGGGAAAAAAGGAATGTATAACTAGGAGTAAGAAGTTGATTGCACGCTGATATGCTAACGTTCATAAAGAGTTTTTTGGTTTTTTTTAAGATAATGAATAACCTGGCAGCTGCATCAAAGACGTACATAGGCCATCATGCATTACTGTGCACCAAGCAAAGACAGAAAAAATTAACGTTCATAAAGATACATCATACGAGTATTAAACGTTGAGTGGGAGGCTTGGTGGACCTAGCATTATATAATGGCTAGTACATGAAAAAAAAGGTTGTTGATTAGGGGAAGAAATCAGCTTAGTACCTGAGTTAGTTCATCATCATCGATTGTATTTTGAGCGCTGCTTGATTAGGATAGTCCTTAAGTGCCTCTTCAATAACAGCCTTGCTGTCATCATCAAAGGAATAAATGGTTGCATGCCGAAGGGAGTAGAGATTCTCCAAACCTAAATCATTTAAGCCACCCCTCCTTAGTCTGGTCCAAATAGAAAGATAAAGCCTTTCAAGGTGGGGCATAGCTCCTGGTTGAAACGATGGCATCATGGAGCTATAAAACTGAAAATCTTTTAAACTCCGAAATGCACATGCACCTCTGTGGATAGTGAGCTTTTCCTGTAGTTGTTCCGAAACAAATGCTAACTGTAGCCTGAGAAAGCGAAGAGATGGAAGCTCAGCGAGGCGATCAAGGTGGTCAGACTGGAGATATTCGAAATCCAGACAAATGGATAAGGTGGTGAGGTGGGAGAGCATCAATGAATTGATCCAACATGGGAATGCTTTCATAAACGAATCGGGCATGAACAACCTTTGGAGACCGGAAGGAACCTGTTGCATGTCTATGATTTCTTCAAAACTAATATTATTTCTCAAATCTAGGTCTTGCAAATTGGTGAGCCTTTGTATAGACGTTTGAATGGATTCCTTTAACTCAAATGTTTTTTCACTACCGAAAACGATCCTAAGAGTCCTTAGCTCTGTCAAATTACCAATCTCTTTTATTACCTTTCGGGTAGCTTCTATTACAAGCTCCTGTAAAGATTTCATATTCCCCAGCATCAGACCTTGCGCCAGCTTCACTCTGCCAGCATATAGCCGCAACAGTTTCCTTAGTTTGGCAAAAGACATTGGAAACAGTACCTTATGAGATTTAAAAGAACTTGGTTTACGTGCACCTCTTATGTCCAAGGTTTCGAGAGATTCCAGTTTCCCAATGCTTTCAGGGAGCTCAGTGGCACTATAGTGCCCTAGACGCAGAAATCTTAGGAGGCGTAGCTTATCGAGATGATTAAGATGGTTCTTGTCCATTCCACTGCAGTCCTCAAGCTGCAACACACGCAGGACATGAAAGCTCGACAAGGGTGGTATCGAGTCGACCTTGCCGAAGATAGTAATGGACCTTACTTTGGACAATTGTTCTCTTGCTTCTGGTGAGGCATAGGATTTATTGCTGTTATGGAGAGATAATCGGCGAATCTTCTTCTTTTGTGCTGTACATGTATGTTTACCTGTTTGTTGACCATCTGATAAATACGTTGTAACAAAATCTTCTTCTACTGACAGCTGATTTATTAGCTCAAGCACCATGTCATGTACTTTGCATGCATGCACCTTACCATCTTCATCCCAAAAAACATGCACCTTACCATCTTCATCCCAAAAATTGTCCTCACTCATCGGCTGGATCAAGCTTCGATTGATGAGCTCGTTGAAGTAGCTCTCTCCAATCTCCTGCAAGCTTGTCCCTACAGGTCGTGTTTCATCTGTAATAAAACCCTCAGCTAACCAACCCCATATCAAAACATCTTTTCTAATTAGTTCATCCTCAGGATATTTGCTTAGAGACAACAAGCAAGTCTTCAAATGAAAAGGTAGATCGTTGTAACTGAGGCTTAATATCTTCCGCATCTTGTCCACATCAAGGTTGTTCTCAAGCCCCAAACTGATAGACTTATTGACCTTGTCCCATTCCTCTGAATTCCTTGGTTTGCTAGCAAGTAGGCATGCTGTAGTGATGATTGCTAGCGGTACACCACCACATTTCTTCAAAATTTTCTCAGTGACACCACACAAATCAGCAGGACAGTCATCGTTAGAGTCAAATATTCGTTTGCAGAACAATTGTCTGGAATCATCATCAGATAAGGGTTTCATTTCATAAACACCACTGCCTGCATGTTCTGCAACGACCTTGTTTCGCGTGGTTACAATTATTTTGCTACCAAGTTTAGCATCTTGCACAGCAAGTTTGATAGTATCCCACGCTGATTTTTTCCATACATCATCAATCACGCACAAGAACCTAAAGATGGTAGCATATACACATGTTATTGAACCTAGATATAAATCATGTGAAGCCTGTCCAAAAAAGATAGGAATATGTATCTTGCACATTGAATATCGAAAATGATGTGCAGCTTTAAATGTGTAATTTTCCAACAATTTTGACACAATAAGTGCAGCTTTGTGAATTTCTATTCACAAAGTTACAAAGATACTTAATTATGCGTAAATAGGGCAGATTTCTGAATAACTATGTGTTCCATTGGAAAACCAAAACTTTATTTACAAGCCAGTTATATTATAATAGTATAAAAACTTGAGCTAGGATTCCCGGTTATATTAGAATACAATAAAAACTTGAGCCAGGACTCTTATTCGTACAACAAAAGGTATCTTCAAATAATGATAAAAGGTAGGTATAACATAGAAATGTACCTTCTATTGTTGAGGAAGTCTCTAATTTTGTCGATGAGCTGCTTCGTTTCCCATGTTTCATCTATGTGGGAATACATTTTCTCATCAAGTTGGAGAAGAATGTTCTTGAGAATCTTGTTTATATCAGGATTCAAGGACACCGAAACAAAACAATAGCTGTCAAATTTTGCCTTAAGCTCCTGAAATAATGAATTGGCAAGAGTTGTCTTTCCTAAGCCTCCGAATCCAACAATAGAAATTATATTTGATTGTTGGCTGGATGAGCCGTCATATTCCAAGAGTTGCTTAGTTAGCTCATTTTTTGGCTTGCTAATGCCAATGAGTTCTGTCGCCTTTCGGTACATAGCTTCTAGGCGAGAATCAACATCCACAACAGTTGGCCTGGCAGCATTGTCGTCGACTATGTACCTATCACGACGTTCGCTGACCTTCTTGACCTGGTCCATGATGTCTTTCATGACACCGTGGATCTGATGGTTGGTTTTGAACTTGTTGAACAAATTGGTGACCTTCTTGAAGCTCGTGGCAGGTTCATGCCCCTTGCACTTTAACATGAAGGTGTCGATGGCATCCTCGATGTCGTAAGATAGCTCTCTCACCTCGCTGGCCCAGATCTTGACCTGCTGGTCAAGTTGATCCACAGGTGTCTCAGCCACCTTGTGGAGTGCTGCGGTCATACCTTTCAACTCTTTCTCAAGTTCTTCGATCTCTCCCTTGACACCCTTTTGCAGCTTGTATTCGCCAACCAGCAGCTCCCCAAGCTTGGGGAGGAGGGTGTTCATTGCCCCTGTGGCGATGTTCATCTTGGCCTATCTGATGTTGAATGCCTGCACGGGTACACACAGATGCACTTAAATGAGCCTCTTGAGTTTATTAGTATGTATCAGGATTCAGGAATGATCAAGCAACCGCAAAAACATGGAGAAAAACGACATCTGAATAATTAAGCTGCTATGTAGCATGTCAAATCGAGACTAGATTGAGGTAACAACCGTGTGCTGCATCACCTAATCGATCCAAGCAAAGCTCATCACCGTGAGCAGCGCAAGATAGCGACCTCTCAACGCTGTACGGTATACTAGTAACAGGAAGGACCAAGCAACGACGCCCAAACACACATGGAGAAAATCAGCATCTGGATCAACCGGGCCGTACCGGAATCGGAGGTCGATCGGGACAGTGGATGCGGTCGCGCCGTCGCTGGCTCCGCTCCGCTCCGCCCCGCCCTTGCTGCGCCGCGAATCGGGTCCGCCGCCACTCAGCCACGTCGCCCGCGATCGATCGATGCCGTGGTGGAAGCGGCCGGCGGCGAGAGTAGGGGAGCTCGGGTCAACGGGTGGGAGACCTGGAGTCAAGCTTGCTCCAGCCGAAGAGGATAGAATAATGAGAGGATAACCAACGGACTCCGCTTCAGTGACTTAGCTAAGGCAAGTCACAGCGTGACATACCATGTATCTCGGCCGTCCAAAACGAATCCAATGGAGATGGCGCTTGGTCCCGCACGCAGGCAAAAAAAAATCTCCGTTTCGGCCTAACAGGAAGCCCGCACGCGCACAGGACGCGCTTAACCTCGCCCTCGTCCGCGTACACCGGCGCAGCCTGAGACGGACTCAACTTCGCCTCGCCCTCAGGTCCGCGTACGCCGGCGCTTCATCTCGCCCTCGTCCGGCCGCCGCCGCGAGTCAGCTGGGAGGCGCGTCGCTGCGACCGGAGAGGCACCAGGCTGCCCTGCCCTGCCGCCGCGACCGGGGGCGCGTGGAGGCGGCCGGCCGCCGGGCCTGACGGCGCGGTGGTGCAGGCGGGCAGCCGCGCAGCCCGAGCCCGGCGCGTGGAGGAGGCCGCGCTGCTCCTGCCGCGCCACACGTCCCGATTTCGGCGGCCTCAACTCCACGATGGATTTCAGCGTCCGAGCCCGCATCCAGAGCCCGCACCAGTCGGCCGCCCACTTCGTCGCCGGCGAGAGGTGACACCGCCGCCCGGCTTCGTCCAAGGTAGGAGTCACTGGTGGTTGAGTTTGTGGAGAACGACGCACCTTTTCCTGTGCCCGCGAGGTGTTTGTGGAAATGACCTGCCGTCTGGGATGATGCAGAGTCCTGATTGAAAGTGAATTGTTATTGTTTGGCTTTGTGAGATTAGAAGCAAATTGATTCTGTAATCTTTGATTGAGATTGATTTGGTTGTATGACTCATATATGCTGTAATTTGAATGAATGAATGAATAAATCAGTAACTTCTGACGATGTTTTCTAAAAAATTTTGAGATGTTTGAGATGTTGCCCAGGTCCATGATTTGTTCAGGTTTAAAGTCTGGAATGGACTTATAGTATTGTCTGGTTTATACTGGACATGAGTTGTGCTGCCATTTCCTCCTTTTCGCTATCTCTGCTGTAAATTTTTAGTTCATGCTAGGTGGGAGGTTCCATGTCTTGTTATGATCAGTTGTCCTATGCAGCAATGTTGCTCTGAATCTCTCTCTCTGAAGATGCTGAATGGAGTGCCGTCGTTACTGTAGTGCTATCGTGAAATTTCATGGTCAGTAGTTCCTGTGCATGGTCGCCCTGATCAATAGTGGGTAGGACATCTTTGGAGCTGTTTTTATGCGAGATTCCTGCAAAATTCCTAGTACAAATTCATGCGTTGCAAACAAGCCCGTATGTCTCCTTCATTTCTTGATACGATAGGGATGGATTGTGTTTTGGTTGACAAAATCCAAAGAGAGCAATTTTGTGCATGAAATGAGAATGCCAGAATGGGGCTGTTGCTTTGAGCGATCTGATATCCATCGTGGAGTTGAGGCCGCCGAAATCGGGACGTGCGGCGCCGCAGGAGCAGCACGACCTCCTCCACACGCCGGGCTCGGGCTGTGGGCCGCCCGCCTGCACCACCGCTCTGTCAGGCCCGGCGGCTGGCCGCCTCCATGCGCCCCCGGTCGCGGCGGCAGGGCAGGGCAGCCTGGCGCCTCCCCCGGTCGCGGCGGCGGCCGGACGAGGGCGAGGTGAAGCGCCGGCGTACGCGGACTCAAGGGCGAGGCTAAGCGCGTGCGGGCTTCCTGTTAGGCTGAAATGGGGATTTTTTTTGCCTGCGTGCGGGTCCAAGCGCTACCTTCGTTGGATTCGTTTTGAACGGGCGAGATGCATCGTATGTCACGCTGTGACTTGCCTTAGCTAAGTCACCGAAGCTGAGTCCCCAACGGACCACGGTAGTTGAGGGAATGATAAAATAAGACCTGTCCGGGGTACGGATGCAAGCGGGTGGGCAAGCAGGCTTTTTTTTCCCTGTTTATTGCACTTTTATTTTATTTTTTTCTTCTAAATTTTATACTACTATGCGATAGATAAACTAGCAAGCAGGTTTTTATAGAGTAGCGGGACTACCCATTTGCATCCCTAGTCCGGGGGAGGAGGAAAAATCGTCCTCCCCCTCCCTCCCCTGACGCTCACATGTCCACATGGGCCCCACCATGTGTAACTGTCCACCTGCCACGTGTCTCACACACATATTCCGTTGCAACAAATCACCCTCTATTAAGGAAATTCGTTTTATTTTTTATTCCACCAAAAATATTTTACCTAGTGGACTCACAATGTTTCACTATGTATAGATCTAATATTGCAGTAGATTAAAACATTCTTTTCTAACAAATCAGCAACATATTAAGGGAATTCATTTTATTGTTTGTTCCAAAAAAATGTTTCACATGTTTTACCATGTATGGATCAAATGTTGCAGTTAATTGAAACATTCTTTCGTTATTTGCTGAAACATTGTTTTTATATAAGGTGAAACAATGCCACCAAAAATGTTTCACCTAGTGTACTTATAATGTTTCACTATGTATAGATCAAATGTTGCAGTGAGTTGAAACATTCTTTCACTATTTGCTGAAACATTGTTTTTATATAAGGTGAAACAGCGTCCGATTTAAACGATTGGAACATTTTCGATCTACTTAGTGAAACAATTCCGATATACTTGATGGAACAGCATGCAACATTTAAAAATAATTCAATAATAAGCTAAAAAATTCATCTGAATATATACATGTGTGGTCTTGTTTTAAAGAATTAATTGTAACGAATTTAATAGTGCAATCGGATCATAATTTGGATAAATATTTTAAAAGAAAAATTAGTTTAAAGTGGTTTTGTATGCATGCGTCATGCTGACGTCAGAGCTCGATTTTTTTTAAGCCCGGATCGGGCACTCGACGGGTAGTGCCTCCCCAATATAATTACTGTTAATTCATAATATCAGTATTGTACTTATACGAATAATATGAATTGGTACTTGAATTTGTTTACTTGTAATTTTATTTATTTAATAGCAATATAGTATAACTGTTACAAATATATAGGACTATAGTTTTTTTAGTTACACTAGTTAGATATATATCAGTGCAATATATCTGTTACAATTGCATTATCAGCACAGAATACAGAATTATTCACATATACAGAATACATATGAACGAAATACAATCCATTCACAATCCATAATACTCACTAATTAATTAGCACAACAATATTAACGCAAAAAACAAAATACGCGGGCCGATGGGATCGACTTGGAAAATTTTCGCTGGCTGAATCCGTCTATGCGGTGGCAAAATACATATGCCAACATTTTAAGATAATATTTAAACATTGAGACAAAACTTAAACATTAAAAGTAGGTATAGTTTTATTTTTTTTATTATAAACACAGTCCAAAAGCAAGTACTAACAACGTCACACTCACCTCTATCAACAGTGTGTTTGGTTGAGTTATGGCTTTTGGAAAAATAGCAGTGGCCAGTGGCTTTTCGCAAAACAGCTATGGAATATGGGCTGTGGCTTTTTGAAATGACTAGTCCGGTTTACAAGCGGGTCCCACGTGTCATACACACTGGATCTTATCTCTCCCCTCTTCTCTCTTATCTTATCTCTCTCTCCCCTGCTTGTGGCCGAAGCGGGCGACAACCAGGGTGGGCGCACGGCCGGCGGAGTGGGGCGAGTGGCAGCCGGAGTGGGCTACGGGCGAGGCGGATCGGCCAGCTTCGCCGCTCGCGATGGCCGAAGCAGGCGCAGAGAGGGATGAGGCGAGGAGGACGGTGAGCAGGGGTAGGGTGCGGAGGGAGGAGATGGGGCGCTCCGCATCGGCCGACGCCACCCGCGTTGAGGCAGACGGAAACAATCATGTCATAACTTTCGCAGTAAATCACCATTATACGATAATTCATTTACCGACGAAAACGTCTACTTACAACGTAGTAGTAACTCAATTACTGCATTATGCGAATCACCTCATCCAGAAACAACAACACATTTACGACAAACTCGGTCACCATAGTTACTAAACGAGTAACCCATTTATTAGCTATGGCAAACAATTTAACTACCCAGTAAATCGATTACCACAAGCCTGGCTGTGACAAGGTGTCGAAACATGAATTCGGCAATAATAAAAGGGGGTAGCGCACGAGACCTAAAAGTGGATGGATGCGGAGACAAAGGATTTAGACAGGTTCAGGCCCTCTCAATGAGAGGTAATACCCTACTCCTGTTTGGGGATTTGAATCCGCCGAGTGTGTATTGATCTGACGATCAGGTTGTCTCATGCCCCCTAGAGGGCCTCCTGCCCACCTTATATAGGGTGGGGGGCAGGATTACAAGATAGAAACCTTAACCAATAAGGTACCGATTTCCTAAATCTACTTTACAATCTTATCAAACCAGGACTTTAGGCCGTTCCATAATATACAGGGAAACGTAATACCCAAGTCATGATCTGTTACATATTCCATACATATATGTTATCCCCTATTACTAGTCGGATAACCATGCCGTGTGGGTATGGGGTACCCATAATCTCCACAGTAGCCCCTGAGACCTTCACAGTCGAAAATATAATCTTCTCTCGAACTAGATTACTCTAAAGCCGAGTGCTTCAATCATCTTCGCCATGGTCTCCCGAGTACTTTTACCAAATCTGAAGACTGTGGAGGGCTGAAAAATAAAGTCAGGTGCATCGAATAGATGCACCTAATAGGTGTAGCCCCCAACTATGTGATTAGCTGAACAAACTAAACATATAGTCAAGGAATAAATTATCCAATTAACCGAGTGGTTTTTGATAATTATAGTCAACCAAGTGACTTGATACCAATATATAGCATATGCGGTGTGAATCCCCGAATAATATGATCCAAGTGATATACCGACTGCTTGGCAAAATATGATGCGTATAACCTAAAGTTGACAACATCTTTGAAAGTTCACATAGCAAAACAACTATAAAGAAGCTTGAATGCTGTGAATAAAGAAATTTCCAAAGTATTGGGCATACGCCATGCGCACACTGCTTTAACAGATGTGCTTAAGTCCCTAAAAGACACATGGTTTCACCACACCTGGAAATATATGGCATATATGGTATAACATCCGAGTAAGTAAACTCATAAAGGATTTACCAACCGCCTGAAAAATGACCATAATATATAATCAGCCTAAGCCATAATATTGGTCAATAAAAATGCACACTTACGTGGCAAAAAGCAATGATATTGTATCCAATCAATTGCTTGATAAACCCAAACAGCACCTTGACTATATAAAAAAGTCAGCGGGGCAGCTATATAAAGCTTTACTGTTTGACACCTTTTAAGATGCATTGTACCAACTCCTAAAAAGTCGAGTAACTGCGGTATAAAAGGATTTTAAGGTATTGGGCACTTGATCACGCGCACTTTGGCCTAAGCGAAAAGTGCCTAAGTCCCTAAAAGAACGTGACAGGCCACACCTGAAAATATGGGCTGCAGACATATTAGGCCTAGGCCAAAAAATATGCCTTCGACACCCTTTAAAGGATGACGCATGTAACATGCTCCCGAGTAATAAATCTTCCGGGTAATATAGACCAAGTGTAGCTCATATGAATAGCTTCTGATCTGAATGATTATCCCTTATGGGATACTCCAAAATAAATATAATAATTGAATCCCGACTGGCGCAAGTATTCGGTTGATAGCCCTTACGGGGAATAATAATTGGTCCAGTCTTTGAGCATAGAAAATAGACTCATGACTATGAATCCATGTGGAATGTATCCGGAACAAGTCCAAATTGGAGATATAATCCTCACGCTTGAGTTGATGAGCCCCCGAGCATATAGCTTGTCCTTCTGTCATAGTCAAAATTGTCTATTGGCAATAGCTGACGCAGTCGGCATGGAGATGAAATGACCAACATGAAGACGAAATTGCTCATCAGAAGTAACGGAAGATGTCAGCGGTAGTAAAAACAGTGACACCAATCAAAGGTAATGAAGTTGCATAACCATGGAGGCAAAGAAACCAGTCGGCAACAGTCAGGTCAGCTAGCAGTGAAGATGTAGGCGCCCAACAACAACGAAAGAACAGTCGGTGGTGACAAAAGCAAACCGACGATGAAGACGTAGACGCGCATCAACGGTGATGGCGAAATCCACCAATCATGAAGATGAAGAAAATAATCGGCGGCGACAAACGCATCCGACGGTAATGATGATTAGCGGCAACAGAGATAGCCGACTATGATGACAAAGTTTCCCATCAACGGCAGCAGAGTAGGCTATGTTGAAGAGGCTTGACAAGATGTTGATGAAGATGACGATGTCGGTGATCCAGTCAATAGCGATGTAGCAGCCGATGATAACGATGAGATCCTCTATTGGCAGTTGCGTAGTAGGCCAACCGTGAAGACAAATAATTGGAGGAGAGTTGATGTTGTTGCCCAACTCGTCTAAACCGAAATATTTGAAGTTGTTGAAGTAGAATGTCTGCTCCGAAGCAAAGATGAAGATAATGACTCCTGGAGTTGACTCGTGGGTTGATGAATTGATTTCTTCAGCTTGACATAAAATTTGTCAAATTTTGAGCCTTGTATTTGTGTAGCCCCCGACTCTTTGATTAGTTGGGAAACAACTGAACATAGAGTCGAGAACTGTAGCCTCTTGTCGTCGAATAGTTATTGCTTGAGTGAAGATAAATATTGAAGATTGGAACACCACTTGTTGTAATAAAATAACACGGTATCATATTTGGTGACGTATGCCGAGGTGTCGAAACACTGGTAGTCGTCGTGGTTGATGAAGTAGCAAAGCTTGCGAAGTAGAGGCAATAGAGTTTGCCGATGCCGAAGATAATAAAAATGAAGTTGCTCCACCATGGTGACAAAGTTGCATAGTCGTGATGAAGTGAACACGAGTCGGCGGCAACAGAAGCAAACCGGTAGTGAAGACGCGCAGTTGTGAAGATAAAAGCACCAGTCGGCGGCGGCATAACCAATCGGCGACGGAAGACGATGATGTCCATCAGTAATGGTAGCTGTATAAACCAGACGTAGAGGCGAGGGCACTAGTCAGCAGCAGACGAGACGACCAGCGATGAAGATGGTAAGGCCAATCAACACTGGCAGAATCATGCAGCCATGGAAGTGAAGAAACCAGTCGGCAGCCATGGCAAACGTAGGCAGCTTGTGTTGAAGATACTGATGCCTATTAGTAGTGACAGCGATGTAGCCAGCCGTGAAGAAGATAGCATCAGTTGGCGTTATAACAGGCCAGCCGTGCAGGCGGTGACACCAGTCAGCGGCGGATGCGGCGGCCGGTCGGTGAAGACGTAGACGCCCAACAACGGCAGCATAATAGGCCAGCCGTGCAGGCGGAAACACCAGTCGGCGGCGGTCGAGGCGGCCGGTCGGTGAAGACATAGACGCCCAACAACGGCGGCATAAAGGCCAGCCGTGCAGGCGGAAACACCAGTCGGCAGCGGCGAAGGCAAGCCGGTCGGTGAAGACGTAGACGCCCAACAACGGCGGCATAATAGGCCAGCCGTGCAGGCGGAAACACCAGTCGGCGGCGGCGAAGGCAAGCCGGTCGGTGAAGACGTAGACGCCCAACAACGGCGGCATAATAGACCAGCCGTGCAGGCGGAAACACCAGTCGGCGGCGGCGAAGGCAAGCCGATCGGTGAAGACGTAGACGCCCAACAACGGCGGCATAATAGACCAGCCGTGCAGGCGGAAACACCAGTCGGCGGCGGCGAAGGCAAGCCGATCGGTGAAGACGTAGACGCCCAACAACGGCGGCATAATAGGCCAACCGTGCAGGCGGAAACACCAGTCGGCGGCGGCGAAGGCAAGCCGGTCGGTGAAGACGTAGACGCCCAACAACGGCGGCATAATAGGCCAACCGTGCAGGCGGAAACACCAGTCGGCGGCAGACGAGGCGGCCGGTCGGTGAAGACGTAGACGCCCAACAACGGCGGCATAATAGGCCAGCCGTGCAGGCGGAAACACCAGTCGGCGGCAGACGAGGCGGCCGGTCGGTGAAGACGTAGACGCCCAACAACGGCGGCATAATAGGCCAGCCGTGCAGGCGGAAACACCAGTCGGCGGCGGTCGAGGCGGCCGGTCGGTGAAGACGTAGACGCCCAACAACGGCGGCATAATAGGCCAGCCGTGCAGGCGGAAACACCAGTCGGCGGCGGTCGAGGCGGCCGGTCGGTGAAGACGTAGACGCCCAACAACGGCGGCATAATAGGCCAGCCGTACAGGCGGAAACACCAGTCGGCGGCGGTCGAGGCGGCCGGTCGGTGAAGACGTAGACGCCCAACAACGGCGGCGTAATAGGCCAGCCGTGCAGGCGGAAACACCAGTCGGCGGCGGTCGAGGCGAGCCGGTGGTGATGTTCTGACTGATCCATTCCTGGAGCGTAAGAGATAAGCTTAAAGCCATGAATCCCTTTTATGCATATCTGGATCTGGATCCTGCAGAACAAACATATAGGATGAGTAGTATCTGATATAAATATAATACTCGAGAAAAAATCAAGTATTTTAAAATATTTATAAATATGTATTTCTCCTCTTGTCAATTTTGATTTCCCCGAGCAGATGACTCTGTACGTTTAAACACTCTGTCCGACTAGTCATAGCCCCCAAGCATCGGGAGTCGGCCTAGGCATTTCCCTATTAACCCACAGTAATTGATTTACCTCCAGCGGTGTATCTTCAACAACTACCCCGAATTCAAATATATCTAATCTACATAGAACGAACATGGGCAACCGAACACGGATTTTGCAGACTCTGGGCGCGACGTGCGGTGCTCGGAACAATATTCCATGCGCAAGCGCTACCGTTAACACAACTCCTTTCAGCCCAGTCTAACTCTTTTACCACTCATCCGATCACCAATTCACCACTACCCCTTCTCCGTACATCAATAGAAAAATTAGTACAATTTCATGTGCTTTTGACACATATGTATGAATGTTCTATATAGATATTTGCAAAATAAAAATATTGATATTTCAAAATTTTAAAGTTCAAGGAAGTTACAAAGACTTGAAAAATCTGAATACATGAAAACCTAATCTAAAACAACATTTTATTTGTTAGTGGAGAGTAAGTCATAGTGCATTTCTGTTTCGTAGGTATGACTACAACCAACCGTCCGAATGGGATTTCTCCATACCAAGTTCACATAAAATACTGATTTTTTTAAAAAGAAAATTCAAACTTTTTAAAATTTAATTTTAAAGGAAGACTATCGCAAAAGAGGCCTAGGATGTAGAAGATCATGACATGAGCGATTCGGCAGATTCTCATTTTCAAACTAGAACCCGGTTTAGGAATAAAATTTGGGAGAGTATATTAAAAACTAAAAGTTACTAAAAAGGTTTTTAAAAAAAATCTAAAATTTCATCAAATTTCAGATGGGCCGGATTACTCGTGGGCCCACATGTCAGCCACACGCCACCTCGCACGTGCGTCACGTGACGGGCTCCTCGGCCCATTACCTCGCGTACCCTCGCACCCGTCTCCCGCAGACAGATCCGCCTCGATTCTTCGCCGCCGCGACGAGCTCCCTCCATGGCGCCGCCGGCCGCCGCCGCGACCTCCTCGTCGTCCTCCTACACCGACACCTCGGGCTCCTCCTCCGACTCGTCCTCGTCCTCGGGGAGCGACCGACGCCGACGCCGCGCCCGCCACCGCAGCGGCCACCGGAAGGATGCCGCGGCGGCGGCGTCGTCCTCGTCGTCGGCGCTGAAGGCGCGCAAGGACCGGAGGTCCCGCCACAAGCGGCGCCGGAGGGAGCGGCGGCGGTCCCCGTCCGACGACGACAGCTACAGGCGAGGCTCTCCCCCTCCCCCTCCTCCTCCTCATCCTTCCTTTCTAGGTTTCTTGTGCTAGGGTTAGGCCCAGATCGATCTCTGTGAATGAATTTTGCTCGTTAGCTCCTCTGATAGTTTATCTTGACCCATGATTGACGCTACATCAGGAGTGGTATTAAGGGGATAACGAATTAGTTGCACAAGGACGTGAAGAATTTTCGGTTGTTTTACAACTAACAAAGGATTTATTTGTTCAGTTTGGTTTGGTCGTGCCTTACTTGAGCAACGAGAGCCCTAACCGTGAGAAAAATTTTAGGATTTCACTTCAACTTGATACTTCATCCGTTTCATAATGTAAGATTTTCTAGCATTGTCCATATTCATGTAGATGTTAATGAATCTAGACATATATGTGTGCCTAGATTCATTAGCATATGTATAAATGTGGACAATGCTAGAAAGTCTTACATTATGAAACGGAGGGAGTAGTAATGAGCACTGAATGCTAGCTCGAATCTACATGGTTTGGAGAATTTCTGTGATGTACTTTTTCAATGTGTAACAATCGCAACAGTAGTAGGACAAAGCCTCATTCCTTCCTAGTTTAATAGTCAGTGATCGGTTCTATCAGCAGTAGGACAAGGATTTCTTAGATATGATTTGAGCTCACTATTGAAGATGAGTGTTCGCATCTCCATTTAAAATTCCTTTTCAGTCAGTTAAATATTCTGTAAGCCTGAGAGGGTGGCAATCCATGGCATTTACCGGAGCTATGATGCTTTGTTCTTTTGAATTCAATTTATCTGTGATTAGGAGTTATCATGGCATCAAGTTTAGGCAGCTAAAGCATAGTTCAGAATCTAGGTACCAGGGAAGTTTTGAAACAAAAAATGCCATAGTCTTGCATTACATTGTTACGGCTTGAATCATTCAATTGGATGACATGGATCGGCATAGCAACAAGTTTTTCCCTAGTTTTAGCCTTCAAGCTGTCTTGGCTTTCTCTGCTACACTGAAAAAAATAGAGATATTTTGCTTCTTGCGAAACTTATATTCCTGTTTGCTTTATGCCACCACTGTTATTTTGAAGTTTCTGGTGCTTTTTGTAGTAGCTCAAGCTCTTACGACAGTGAACATGAGGGCAAATCACGCAAGCACAAGAAGAGCAGATCATCAAGGAAGGTACTGCCCCATCAATGCATTCATATTTGATTTCTCATTTAGATTTTTTCTCCATGCGTCGAATATGTGGCCTCATTGTATTTACTTACCTGACAGTCTAGGGAGAGGGAGCGAAGCAAGGATAGGCATTCTAAACGAGACAAGAGCAAACATAAAGAGGTAAAAATCCTATTTATTCAGAAAATACCTTTTTCTTGGTTTAACTTTTCAGTGAATTGAATCTGTGTTGCATGTAATAATCACTCTCTAGAAATCAGCAAGTGTTGGTTGCATACTTGCGTTTGATTGCTGTTACAGTGCCATGCTATATCTATTAATAGAAATCTACAGGGTCATGTCTTATGAAGTAGATATGTAGACTTAAAATATATGTGGTTTACATTTAAATACAAGAGGTCCTTATATATCTTGCTGCCTGTTTCTGGGTTGGCTCTTTGACATTGGAGCTGGGATTCGTGAACGAGTGACAACATGGTGGATTGGCTTGCTGGTTGGCTTGTTGGTTGATTGGTTGGTTTTGTTCTCTTCAATGCGGGAGCTCTACACAGAAGAAAATAGTGAACGTACTAGTGGCCCCGTGCAGCTCTCCAAGGTATATTAGATACTTGGCTTTACATTTTTCTTTTCTATTTGTTTTATTTAACATATGAAACATTCTTTATTCTGTAAATCAGTTTCTTGGACGTGACAAGGATGAAGGTGTTCAAAGGAGTGCAATCTCTGGTAAAAAGGTGAGAATAGTCTCTTGACCACTTCAATGTACACCTTTTGAATTGTACAATAGAGGGGGGTAAGGGGGGGGGTGCCTGTTGAAATAAAAAATCTTCTGATCAAAGTAAGGTTATGAAATATGAACAATTTTTCAGTATCCAAACTGTTCCATCGGTTGTTAAATTCAATAAAACAGAATGGGCTACCTCGCATATGCCCCCCTCATAACAAATTATTTTAGGAAGGCAAAAGATTTGATGCATTTGCATTGACAGATAATGATGAAGCTTGAGAAATCCAAGGAAGACAAGCAGGCAGAGAGCAAGCGCAATGAATTGTTGAAGTTTCTGAATGCAAGTTATGATTGACAGTTTGTTGGAAGTGCTGTCATTTGCTGCCTTTTGGATTTGTCTTGATACTACCGCTTAGTCCACCAGTGCTGTTGGTTATATTTACAAGTTTTTTGTTCCCTGTTATTCTAGTTATGGCATGACCGTCTGTGTTCATGCCAGCACTTAGATAGTTGTCGCATCACCGTTGTCACTAAAAACTATTACATTTGATCCTGGGCTGATAATGTTTTCAATTTTCATATTATTACTAGCATATGCATCTGAGTGTTTCCCGATATTTTTTACTCAAGTATTAATTTCTCCCTTTGCTGTTTCTGTATGGTTAAGCTTTTTTTCACTAGGGATTAGCTGCTCGTTTAGCTGTTTACTGATAGGAAAGACTTCCAATTGGTCTTCTCACATGAAATCGCACTCGTTTAGATTCATGAAAATTATTATTCGTTGAAATTACGACTGAGTGGTAAACACGGTCTATTTGAATTGTTCAACGTATGGCTCGTATCTCTCGATGACCTTTGCAACAGGGCACCTTCAAATATTTACAACTTGGCATTGAAGGTGCGGTTGACTACATCAAAGCCAGACTTGCAGGCCTTCTGGAATCATACGAAACATTGCAAAGAACATACTCCCTCCGTATTTTAATGTATGACGCCGTTGACTTTTTAACAAACGTTTGACCTTTCGTCTTATTCAAAAAATTTATGTAATTATAATTTATTTTATTGTGACTTGATTTATCATCAAATGTTCTTTAAACATGACATAAGTATTTTTATATTTGCATAAAAATTTTGAATAAGACGAGTGGCCAAACGTTGGTTAAAAAGTCAACGGCGTCATACATTAAAATACGGAGGGAGTATAATTCTGCAGAAAATTTCAGACCATTTTGAAACCTTCGAGTCGATCAGTTCAACCATATTTTAAAAAAAAAATCGCAAAGAAACGATTATACGATCGCTTGCCATTGGTAGTCTGGTAGAGACCCTCATCACTTGTGCTTGTGTTGCTGATTATGGTTGACAATTTCTTTCTTCTTCTTTTTTTTTGTGTGGGTGTGTGTGTGTGTGTTTTTTTTTTTTTTGGGGGGGAGGGGGGGTTGCTAACAATTTCTTATCTGTTTCTTGTAAATAATAAATATATTTGTTTGCACTGAACAACACAGGTGATGAACAATGTTAGCAAAGAATTATTTTACATGCTTTGTCACTCTTGTCCAGATTTGTAGGCAATAGCCTATAAGTACTACCTTTGTTCAAAAATATAAGAGATTTTGACCATATAATTATGTGGGATACTACATAGTTTAGCTACATCTAGCATTTGCTAGAGTACATGATGAACAAACTGGCCGTGATTTTCTTTAAATTCTGTAGCCAGAAACCATGTAATATATCTCCATGAAAAAAATGATATCATCATAATTTAGAAAAAGAATGTAGTAACGGAAAACAGTATATTGTACAAACTCATGTCTGAATCTACACAAGAATTTCATTTTCAGTCCTGAAGAATGATGGGGTGTGTGTATGTGTGTGGCTAATCCCAGAAAAGTACAGAAACTTATTGAATGGTTATCCCAGATTTACATGAAAAATAGCTGCTTTTTCTCAGATGATGATAACATCAGGTAAAATGGTTAGAGCTTATCAAAAGAAAAATGTGTTGACTATGGCAGCAGGCAGCTACAATTGAGCAGCCAGGATCTCATTCCATGTGTCTGGAACACCAGGAAGGCACCAGTGCAAGCAATCCTGGACCCCTCCTCTACCTTTGATGCTGTACCTGGATATATGCCCTTCATCCCTCAGCCGCGAAATCGCGGTGATATCCAAGAACTTGATTCCGGTGCCTCTCACCGCTCCCTCGGCTTCGGCATCGTCAGAACGATTCCGAAACACCGAATTCCCCTTGGATAAAGGATCTTTGTTGTCACATGTTCCTCCAGTGTTCCACTCACCATTGAAGAAATGCCTTGGTGACAATGACCTGTAGAAGACCTTCAGATGGGGGTGCCTTGGAAGCTGATCATCCAGCCACCTGACAACATTGTGGATGGTGAAGTTCTTCGCCTTCCAGATGACGGCGATATCCCGGTCATGGCTCGGTACACCGGAGACGTACATCTGCCACCGGTTCGCCTTCATCTTCCCCCGGTTCCAGTGGTGCCCGGTGTTCAGAATTATGACATGAAACCTGTGGAGGTTCTTCTGAAGAAATGCAGGAGGGCGGTCTAGGTGCATTGCATAGCCGGTTGCCTGATCAGACCTCCTGAGAGGCTCCAGGTCACAGAGAGTTGCTGACCAGTAGTGTGGTGTTGGTTCTTCGGAACCGGTATGCCCAACCTTCCGGTCTCTTAGCGTGGCGCGCAACGACAAGGCCGTAGCGTTTACCGACATCTTCGACATGCGAGTGATCATCCCCACCTGTGAGCATGCACATCATTGACTGGAACATCTGCCTCCCCAAGGAGTCACCTACAAAAGCAATGGTTTTGTCCTGCATCCTGAGGCATGTTAGGATTAGCATGACCTGAAAGATAAAGAAAAGATGCAGAAGAAGATGAAAATGTTGCTTAAATGTTTCCTGCAAATATACACTTACCTTGTCAAGAACTGAGAAGCTTGAAATTCTGGCATGTCACAGCCTTCAGGCTGCCATCTGAATTTCTCATAGGCAAAATCCTTTCGCTGTGTCAATCTGCATGCCCAGCTGTCAGAGAGCCATTTTTTACAGCTGAGGCCAGAATATAATGGCCTGCGGTCATCAGGAACCCATCTTCCATTCCTGTAGTCACATTCTGCAAGACAGATGAAGAAAGCATCAGAAGAAACAGCATTGCATTAGAGTTGCAGAAACTTCTGACTAGTAACCGGTTTTGCTAGGCAAATCTGTGAGTTGAGTAGGATTTTAAGGAACATGTCCTCTTTGAGCAAGTTTATAGCCAATTTAGTAAAAAGCTCACATCTTATTTACATTCTTAAGGGGATATTTCTATGATAGAAATTACATTGGATCATAGAAGGAATCAGAGAGATGCTAGCCATGACCTTTCTTCTCAGGAGGTGATGCTTCCCTTTTACCAGTGACATTTTCTGCTTCATGAACTACAGACTGAGGTGGAGATGCAGCAGTAGCTTCCCTTCCTACTTCATCTACTGACTGCACTAACGGACCCAAGCTAGAAAAAATTTCTTCCTTGGAGATATCATGATCTACATAGTTGGATTGAACTGAAGAAATTTACAGAAAAAATGTCAGTGCAAAGAACAACACACAGAAAAAACTCAATTAGAGAATGAATACAAGCTATTGAGCTTGCAAAATTGGAGGACCTGGATGGCTCAAAGCCAATGGCTCCGATCGGAGGAGCTCGCCGCGATTTCGCAGCGATCCCTTCTCCCATTTCCATGTCAGGAGCACCACAAAGAGGGCAAGACACACAAGCTTGAGCTGCTTTAACCCCAGACCATTCAGATTCACCAATCTCATCCCTTTACTGTGCTCTGAAGCAGGCTCCTGTTCTTCTTCAGGATTGAATTGTGCTCACAAGACATGAACTTCAGATGAAATAGAGGTTCTCTGAATTCTGTTTGGTCAGGCAATCAGGCAGCTGCATCATACAAGAAGAATGTAGACAATAAGTAAAAAAAAAAGGTGAGTTCAGATTAATGCTACCTCACCTAACATTAACAAAAAAAAATTGGTGCTTGTTTTTCAAGAAGAATGCATGCGGTAAGTTTGGTACAGAGTAGAGATCAAAGCAGTAAACAGCAGTTGTGATCGGTTGGGAAGGCATAAACATCTTCCTAATTAGAATTAAAGAGTTGCAGGTGATTGGCTGCATAGGCAGGTGAGGCTGAAGCTGGATGGTGGCAAGTTCAGCTTTGCAGACTCAAAAGCTCACACCTTAAATGACCAGAATTAATTATATTCTAGTCACAAAGTGCTGCAGTTTCAAGGTCAGGAAAAATAAACAAGACCGCGCACTCCGAACGAGGCTTCGAACTTTTGACGAATTATAGATCTTGAACATCTCAAAGTTCATCAAAGAAGAGCATGACTTAACGGAATTTATCAGAAAAACATTGTGAACGAAATTTCTAGCAGCACATTGCAAGAAAACAGAAGCCCCACAAAGAAGTGGCTCCATCAAATTTCAACCAATCCTGGTTCAGTTAATTTCCTTTGATGGGTTGTTTGCTTCTTCCCAGGCTCAAAATTGAAAACGAGGAAGTTTACAACCAAAACGCTTGTATCCTGACACAGGACGATGAATCGAACTGAATTCGAGATGAATACACACCAAGAAGGCGAGACGGCAGCAGGACAAGCAGCAGAGCAAAGAAACCAGGCACTGACCAAGAACCGGAGCTCGCCGTCGCCGTCGCCGGCGAGCAGGACGACCAAGAAGCTCACCTCACCTTGATCCTCGCTGCCAAAAAGCCCAAAGGTTTCGGTGTGGCTGTGGTGGTTGTAGTGCGGTGAGGGGCGGGGGTGGAGGTGGTGGTGAGATGGAGAGAGAGAAGGTGACGTGACGTGGGGTGCACGTACGGTAACTGTACGGCAATGCCAAAGCTTGGATCACTCCGGAAATGGGATTAACCGAGGTGGTGTGTGGTGATGTGTACGAGGAGGAAGAAGAAGGAGGCGTCGCGTAGAATGGAATCGATAACAAAAATGGAGACCGAGTATTATCAGAGTGGTTGGTGGTTAGGCATGCACGTCAGGGTTTCAAGATAGCGTCAGAGAGTATCACCGGTCGAGTCATCAGGCATTCAACCATTTTAGGCTTTGCCGTTCACCGCACCTTGGCTGTATCCCCACGGTCTCTCTCAAGTATACACTATACGAGGCCGGCAGCCACCCATGGTCCATCAGTTCTTCACACACTTTATTTTTGGGTCAGAGATGTTGAACTAACCAGACTCTAATACCAATTGTAGAATCATAAATAGTCTTTTCTTAAAAAAAAACCTAAACAATGAGGTGAGAGCTCTCCCACTTATATATTCAAAATTATGTGAAACTTACATATAAGTTACACTGTAGTTACAATGCAAGTTACAGTGTAATTACATACAAGTTACAGTGTAATTACACTACGATTGTACTATAATTACATCTGTCGACAAATGTATAGGTAGTCCCAGAGAAAAAACAGAGAGAGAGGGAGGGAAAAATTCTGAATTCAGGCCCATTAGTGGCCCAAATCAACATGTCCTGTCCAGCAGCCCAGCCCAGCCCAGCCCAGAGCTACTCGTTCTCCCTTCTCACGTGACGGCAGCGAGGAAGCGGATTGGAGAAGGGTTGGGGTTTTTGGCTTCGCGGAGGCGGCAAGGCGAGGCGAATCGCGAGGAGCGGAGGAGGAAGGGTAGGGTTTCGCGTCACGGAGGGGAGGGGATCGAGAGCTCCTCCTCCTCCGCCGTCTCCGCCTTTGCTCTCTTCCTTTCGCCTGTTGTTGCGAGAAGGCGGCCGCCATTTTCTTGATTCCGACCTTGCAGGTATTAAAGCCACCTCCACCTGCCCAATCCTCTGAATTTTGCAGTGCTGGGCAGTTCTTTCTCCTGGTTCTTGGCGAGATTTTGGGCCCTGTAACCCTGCATTCTGTTTGATTGTGATGATCCGTGGGTGGATGGGGATGGCCTAGGTGGTGAACTCGGTTCTTGATTTCTTGCGATTTTTTTTTCCTTTTGATTTATCAATGCCTGAAGCAGTGGATTCTGCTGGAGCAGAGCTGTTAAATGTGTAGCTTGTACAGAGTCGGGCTAGTGGAGCGAACTCGCACTCGTGTTTGTGATTTTGGTGTGATTAGTTGATCAGTAGGTCTGTAGGTGGTATCAATTTTGCTCATATTTCTGATTCGTTTAATTGGCTCAGCAAATGCATGTACCCCTGGTGTTAATTCGGCTATTTTTTTCCTTGATTCCTAGCTGTCTGCTTTCATCTTATGCATGTTGATTGAGTTGATTGGCTGAAATGGCAGGGCGTGGGTATAACCTAGGTGAACTCGGTTCGCTTATCAATGTAGTATAAACATATCCTTAAATTATCTGAGCATGTTGATGCAACTTGCAGAGTCAGTGGTGGACTTCGGTCGTGTTGTGTTAAATGTTTTCGGTGTGATTCCAAATATGCCTGAAATTTCAGACACTGGAATACTATCTTAAATTCTCGTATTGACTAGTCAATCGCAGACATGTGGGCTGTAGTCTAGTATTATTTTGTTTCTTACGGGTTAATTGTTGTTTGCTCAAAGAACTGTATAAAAATAAATAGTTCCAATCCTATCTTCTTCTGAAGAGGAAGAGGAACAAATGTATGTTCAGCAAAAGAGCATTCAATTCACATATATTGATGATTTTACTACTGTAATTTGATCACCTTTACATGTATCATTCTGATCATATTAATTTCATCCCAGCACTCAGATATCTGCTGAATCTGGTGATAGCGCAGCTTGTTCATCTGTATTTCACAATGGAGGATCTTCCGGATGCCCTTATTGGAGAGATCGTCAAGAGGGTTAGCAGTACAAGTGATCTGAGCTCTCTTTCCCTTGTGTCAAAGCGTCTCTACAAAATTGAGGCAGAGAGCAGGCATACGATCCACATAAGCTGTAGCCTTGGACCAGCAACAGATGCCATAGTATCACTTTGTTCCCGATTTCACAACTTGTTGAAAGTAGATATCAATTACTCTGGTTGGACGCAGGACCATGGGAACCAGTTGGACAACCATGGTCTCCGTATTCTTTCATCATACTGCCTCTCGCTGAGTGATATCACCTTAAGCTTCTGCTCATACATTGATGACACTGGTCTTGGTTATCTAGCATTTTGCAAGAAATTGATCACCCTCAGACTGAACTCTGCAACAAAAATAACATCAAGTGGACTTCTCGCTGTGGCTGTTGGTTGCAAGAATCTATCTGCTCTCCACCTCATCGATTGCAATAAAATCAGTGGCGCCTTTGAATGGCTGAAGTACCTTGGCAGTGATGGATCACTGGAAGAACTTAAGGTGAAGAACTGTGTAGGAATCAACCAATACAGCCTTCTAATGTTTGGTCCAGGATGGATGAAGCTCCAGAGGTTTGTGTTTGAGTTCAGAAATATTTACAGCATATTTGAATCTAAAGATCCCTCGTATGTGGCGAATTGCCAGTATAGATATGATTTCTCCTGTGAGAATTTGAAGCAATTGAGCTTGAGACGGATTGTGACCATGGAAGAAATAGGACTCCGCTCTCTCCTGGGAAAATGCAAATCACTAGAGAAACTTTGCCTTCATTTTGTTCTTGGTCTAACTGACAGTGACATGATTACACTCGCCCAGAACTGCAGCAACCTTAGAAGTATCTCACTTCAACTTGAGCCTGTCTTCTGTGAAGGACCTGAAGGTAGAGTCTGCAGGACGCCGTTGACTGATGAAAGCCTCAAGGCTTTAGCCGGGTGCCGTATGCTTCAAGTTGTTGAGCTCACAATGTTTGGTTGTGATTATGCTTATCCAGAAATAGGCTTCACCCAAGAGGGCCTTATGATGTTTTTTCAGTCTTGCCCAATCCGTGATCTTGTGCTATGTGGCGCCAATATCTTTGATGATGAGGGGATGAAGGCCCTCTCATCTGCACAATTCCTGCAGACGCTCTAGCTTATGGATTGCGTATATATAACTGATGCTGGGATGTGCTTGCTTGCAGATAGCCCATCTTTGGTTAACCTTACACTGCGGCAATCTGACGGTTTTTCTGATGTTGGAGTTGGTGAGGTTGTACGTGCACGGAAATTGGATTCTCTGATTGTTGAAGGTTGTAGCAGGGTATCTCAGAAAGCTGTTCTGGGGACTGCCAAATCTATTCGCTATGAACGATATTATCCTGGTTATGGGAAGCTAAGAAGATCAAGCTTGAGCTTCGGGCAGGATTGAGTCCCCTCAAGATCTTCAGTTGTTTTTTGGACCCCCTGTTGAAGTGCACAGCATTGACGGCTGCTGTTTTCATTTTTCATATTTCTGGACCTGCTTTTGGTGATTGTCTGTCAGTCGGTTATATTAGCTTGTAATAGTGATTTTTATAAGGCATCTGATGTGTGAAAACCATGGTAATGGTCAACACAATGGTACCCTGCAACCAGTGATTTACTTATTTCCTGATGCTTTCTTCTCTGTTCACCCATCCCAAATCCATGAAACTCGGCTACTCATTGACTCAAATGTTTTAAAAGTTCTGCATTGTGGAAGTAGTGAATTCTGGAAGTATGAAAGACATGAGTGCCCATATTTTCAAGACTTTGGATGGCAATACATGTACATATCATATATTGGTAGTCTGGAAAATTAGGTAACCCTTCCCATGGTTCTTAACATATTTTTCTAGGGGAATGCTGTGGATCCAGTCCTATGAGATGAGCAGGTTTTCAGTCAGTTTTGATCTGAACATTCCTGCATTTGAGGAGCAAGCAGATATTCTCGCAGGTACTATTGTTAGTACATCATCTGCCTACAGTGAAAGTTTGATCTGCACAATGGTTATAGCAATAGTTTTTGGAACAGATGAACAAACTATATAGTTTGTTCATGCAGTTCTATGATTTTATTTTTAGTCATTGTACTGATCTGTTTATTTTTCTACAGTTGTTTTGAATTTTTTTAACCATTGTACTGATCATTTCTTGCCGGTCTATCAGGCGGAGAGTGAAGCAATGTCGTGTACAAGGGATATCTGTTGATGTAAGCTCAAGAAAAACGAAGAATTGTGAGCTATAAAAAGATTGGAATTGATTGAACAGTGGGACTACTATACTGCCCCTTGCAGAGGGTCTGGTGTGAACAAAAACTCATCACTTCTTCCTATATAGTTGGTACCTACTACAAGTATTAACACTATAAAGAAGCATGCAGGTTAAGCCACGTCATCGATAACCAATAGCCGTCGGATCACGTGTATCTTTCTTTGTTGTTGTTTAGCTGGAATTCATTCATTCGTTCAATGGCCATGCAGGCTGTAAGTAAGCAAAATGCCATTGGTAATTAAACACATCAATGGATGACTCACTTGAGTGCTCCTAGTCATGCATGCATCCCCCATATTAAGCCACTTCTATGTCCCTTGGCCATCTACTACCCAAATGCCAACTTTATACTTTATAATTTTAGAATGTTTACTTTTGATATTTCAATTCTTTGATTCTGTTTGTAAGCACGTATTTACAAAGTTGTTAATCATTACCACAAAATCCCGCAGCAACGCGCGGGTATCAAACTAGTTGCATAGATCGTTCAAACAAGAATGCTTATACGTTACTCAGAACAACTCTCAAGCCATGTTTGAAGGAAGCAAATAAGAAAGAAATCTCCATTTCGGGGCCAGGGTAGGGTCCATTCTTGCCCACGGGGGTCCCCCGCCCCGGCCTTCCTATGGTTCCCCACAGATTATCTTCTGGCTAGCAGCTTGAGATTATATTTGAACATTATTGATGCGAGATATTTCTTTTCTTTTTGAATTTCAAATGCATTTGCGTGAACATGATGTGCTGTCATCATCAGATTTGGTAATTAGGACCTTACTATGAGATGTTGATACAAGATGCATAGTGAGCCATTCCCTGTTTGAACTTTGATTTGTTTTTATAATGTTTACCTGCTTTTCTTCTCATCAAAATTGTATCGGTGCTTAGCTTTCGTGGGACTAGCTGCTGAAATCTCATCATGATCGTTCTCTCCTGGGAAAATGCAAGTTGTTAGAGAAAGTCTGCCTTCATTTTGTTATTGGTCTAACTGACAGTGACGTGATTACGCTCGCCCAGAACTGCAGCAACCTTAAAAGCATCTCACTTCAGCTTAAGCCCGTCTCCTGTGAAGAACCTGAAGGTAGTATTTACAGGACGCCTTTGACGGATGAAAGCCTCAAGGCTCTAGCCCTTGGGTGCCGTATGCTACAGTAGCGGAGCCAGAAATTATATAAGGGCTAAGCTAGGCTCGACTAATGGAGTATTAGTTTTCTGAAAAATTTACAGGGTGAATCAACAAAGTTTAAGCAAGTTTTGGAGGCAGGACTCGGGCTCAAGCCCTAGCTGCCCCAGGCCTGCCTCCGCCCCCGAGCTAAATAGATCAAACTTGACCATTGGGCGGCATTAAGTCCTGCCCAAGATCTTGAATTGTTTTGACCCCCGTTTCGAAGTGGTTGAGTTGTTGCTAAGTGCACATCATTGATGGCTGCTGTTTTCATTTTTCATATCCCATGTAAACCTGCTTTTGATTGCTCATTTTAGCGTTGTTGGTCGTTCGTTTATATTAGCTTGTAACGATGAGCCTTGGATTATTTGTAAGTCATCTGAGGTGTGAAAACCATGGGAAACGTAAGCACAATGGTACACTGCAGTTAGTGATATATTTCTGGTCGCTTTCTCTTCTGTTTATCCTTTCCAAATCCATCAGACCCAGCTACTCATTGAATCAAATGTTATTCAAATTTTGCTACTTTGTAGTCAATTGGTGATGGATGGTAAAACATGAATGCTCAAATTCTGAATGTGCATGTGCAGATCATATTGATAGTCTGGAAAATTAGGCACCCTTCCCAATGTTTCTTCACTAATTTTCTTTCAGTATCAGCTTGAGATTACATGTTAAGTTTATAAATGTGTGATATTCGTGGAAGGGAGGATTTTGATTTCCCTGGTATCTTTGGTAATGGACATACAGGCATAATTGTGAAACAATAGTTTGGTTACTCCTAGGAGAGCCCTTTTTACTTAGTCTTGTCCCTCCAAAAAGATCGTACAGTCCAAAATTTGATCAATTTCACACCAGCTCGAGTGTCACATTTTTCACTTCACAACAGTTTTAGTATATATAGGCCGAGTTTAGTTCCAATCTTTTTCTTCAAACTTTCAACTTTCCATCACATCAAAACTTTCCTACACACGAACTTGCAACTTTTCCGTCGCATCGTTCTAATTATATCCAAACTTCCAATTTCGGCGTGAACTAAACACCCCCATAGTTTCACTTACACCAGGTGTTTTGAAATAAGTTTCAGTTTGCACTATAGATGGCCAAAAGGCCCGAGGCCCGACGGCCCGGCCCACGGCACGGCGTTTTGGCCCGGCCCAAGCACGGCACGGCCCGATCACCGGGCCATGCCTGGGCCTCTCCACTGGCACGTTGGGCCAGCCCGGCACGGCCGGGCCGGCACGGCACGATTGCCGGGCCGGCCCGACACGATGGGCCGCGCGCAGGCCAGGCCCGACACATAAACTATAAGGAGTAAAAATAGACATATTATATGCCACGGTCGAAAGAATAGGGATGTAAAATAGACTTACTTTAGCTATATATATGTCAGCCCAAAGAGGAGGGACGGAAAATAGACTTATTTTCACTACATATATGTCACAGCCCAAAGAGGAGGGATGGAAAATAGACTTATTTTCGCGATAAATATGTCACAGCCCAAAGAGGAGGGACGAAAAATAGACTTATTTAAAAAAAGGCACGATGGGCCACCCGCGCCTTCGAGCCGGCCCGGCACGGCCTGACAGTTGGTGGACCGTGCCTGGGCGGGAGGCGCAGCCCATGGGCCGGCACAGCCCGGCACGAAGTGCCGATCGGGCCGTGCCGGCCCGATGGCTGGTGGGCCGTGCCTGGGCCGGGCCGTGCCGGGCGGGCCTTTTGGCCATCTATAGTTTGCACAAGGTTGCATCATATAAATCAGAGGGGGAAAAATCTTGTAAAATATGAATGAATCTTATGTGGCCTTTTGAATCTACTTCCTCTGTTTCACAATGTAAAACTTTCTAGCATTACCCACATTCATTTAGATGTTAGTAAATTTAGACATATATATATGTCTAGATTCATTAACATTTAGATGCATGTGGACAATGTTATGATCTACTCCCTCCGTTTCACAATGTAAGACTTTCTAGCATTGCCCATATTCATTAAATGTTAATGAATCTAGATATATATATATATATGTGTTTAGATTCATTAACATATATATGTATGTGGGCAATGCTAGAAAGTCTCACATTGTGAAACGGAGGTAGTATTAAGATTTCATGAACTTTTGTGCTACTTTTTCTATATATTTAATGATATATCCCGGTGTTAAGTAAAACTTATATTAACTCATCCAGATGTAAAATAAAAATGTGCTAAACCTGGTGTGAGACGAAACAAGGTACTCCCTCCGTTTCAGGTTACAAGACTTTCTAGCATTGCCCACATTCATATAGATGTTAATGAATCTAGACATATATATGAATGTGGACAATGCTAGAAAGTCTTATAATATGAAACGGAGGTAGTATATGTTTTAGCCCGATCCAATATGCAATTTACTTTTATAAAGACCAACTAATTCCCTTTTTTTTAGTAAAATTGAAAAATAACAGAATTACTCCCTTTATTACTATTTTAGGGGAAATTTGTAAAAACCATCTCATAAGTCAATTGAAGTTTAAAATTCCACCCCATAAGTCATTTTATTGCAAATGCTCACCCTACCTTGTTTTGTTGCAAAATCCATCCCAGAGTGCACGTCCCTAATTGAATCAGCACGTTATCGCTGATGTAGAGCAACCACGAGATAAGCTAGCCGAGTCAATATTATCCAAGTGCTTACATTAGATTTATTCTTAATGTTTGGTCGAACTTTCTTGTGCATATAGCGAAACTTGGTGTGATAACATTTAAGTTGTCATGAGTAATTCTATTGGTCGAATCTCCAAAAACATGTCAAGGCTATACACTTAGCAATATTATTTTTGATAAATACCATATTGACGGCACACAATCTATAAAACACATGTTGATTAGATCAAGCATGTGCACACTAGGGTGGTTTTTGCAACAAAACTAGATAGGGGTGGGCATTTCCAACGAAATGACATATAAGGTGGAATCTCAAATTTTAAGTGACTTGTGGGGTGGTTTTTGCAATTTTCCCTTATTTTTTAGTGAAAAAAGAGGGGGAGAAAGAAATGCTGAACTAATTCCGGCCCAGAAGTGGCCCAAAATAACATATCCAGCCCAGGTCCAGCCCAATACTCTCCTTTGGTGCACACGAAGAACACCACACCACAGCGCGAAAGCTAGGGTTTGCTCGAGGCGCGGCGCGAGGGGAAGCTAGGTTTTAGCGTCGTCGCGTCCGTGGAGAGATAGAAGATGGCGGCGCGGGGCGACTGATCGCGCGCCTCTCTCCCTCTCTCTCTCTCCCCTCTTCAGGTTCCATCATCCATCGTCGTCACCGCCGCTCCGCTCTTCTCATCGATCTGCGCCGCCTCGAGGTAGGTAGCCCCCCACAAGCCTCTGATCGTTTCAAACCTTAGTGATTCTTTTTCTTGATTTTAGATGAAATTTCGGGGTGGTTTTGATAGGTTGTTTGTTCCCTCTTTGCATCATGCCGTTTCTGTTGGTTGAGCGATGATCGACGGAGGGTACCCGTACCCTAGGTGAACTTGTTGTTATTTCTGAATTTTTCTTTTCTCTGTTGCCGATGTCGAAAACTTGGGTCTCGAACTACTCAAATTGTAGAAATGCTAGAGGAAGACTTGTTAATGTAATTCGAAAAAAAAGAAAAGAAGAAGAAGAAGAAGTGTTCCCAACCCCTCTCCCTGGTATTCCACGCGCACGCTTTTCAAACTACTAAACAATGTGTTTTTTGCAAAAAGTTTATATACGAAAGTTGTTTAAAAAAATCAAATTGATCCATTTTTTTTTTAAAAAATAGTTAATACTTAATTAATCATGTGCTAATGAACTACTCCGTTTTCTGTGCGGGGAGATGGATTCCCAACCCCACATTACGAACACACCCTTAGTGACTTAGTGTACCTTGCACATGAGTTAGTGGACTGTGGACCTCAATGGTATACTCCCTCCATCCCATAAAAAATCAAACTAGTTTGTTTTTTAGGGACAGAAGGAGTATGTTTCTGTATTTGTATCTGTTTTGCACAGGGGTTAGTGGGCTTGTATTTCTAAAGCTGTCTTCAGCGTCGAGGGTTGGAAACCATTCCTCCACGGCACACAAACGGAGCGGAGGATTAGTGTAATATTAATTAAGTATTAGCTAATAAAATGAAAAAAAAGATTAATATGTTTTTTTTAAAAAATCTAAATTACTATTTAGCGGTTCGGGAAGCATGTCATAGAAGACGAGGGAGTAGGAGATGGGAAAAGGGAGTATAGAACACACCCTAATTCTTTAATATAGCTTGCTCAGCAATTGCATGTACTTATTGTTTCAAAAAAAAAGAGATGCATCTACTTGGGGTGCTAATTCGGTTATTCCTTTCTTAATTGCTACTTCCTAGTTGTCTGCCTTTCTTCTTATGCATTGTTGATTGAGTTGATTGGCTGTGAGTGGTGTTAACCTAGCTGGACTCGGTTCAACTAACAATGTTGTAAACCGAGCCTTGAATATATCGTGGACCATGTTGGAGCAGAAAATTTTGGTTCTTGGTAATGCAACTTGCAGAGGAGTCAGTAGACCTCGGTTGTTTTGTGCTGAGAGTGATTTTGGTGTGAATAGTTGGGTACTGTGGTAAATGCTTCCAAATTGAGACGCCAGTATACTAGCTTGTAGTCTAGTTTTATGCTGTTTCTTATAGGTTAACTGTTGTTTAATTTGCTCAAAGAACTGTAGAAAAATAAATACATTGCCAACCTTAGCTCGTCATGTTTGGAGAGGAACACTTGGAGACTTGGCTGTTCAACAGAAAAGGGTTTAGAAGTTCATTATATATATATATATATGCTTCTTAATGATTTTCACTACTGCTATTTGGTAACCTTCGTATAAATCGTTCTGATCATATTAATTTCACCCCAGCACTCAGATGCCTGTGGAACTTGGGGATTACCAATCTTGTCCACCCGTATTTCACAATGGAGGATCTTCCGGGTGCAGCACTTGCAGAGATCATGAAGAGGATTACAAGGACAAGTGATCTAAGTTCTCTTTCTCTTGTGTCGAAGCGGCTCTACACCATTGATGCGGAGCACAGGAGTACTATCCGTGTTGGTCGTGGCCTTTGGCCTGCTAAAGAAGCCTTGTTAACACTCTGTTCCCGATTTTCCAATCTGCGGAAAGTTGAGATCAATTACCATGATTCGACACGTGGCGATGGGAATCAGATCGACAACCAAGGCCTTCTTACGCTTTCAACTTGCTGTCCATTGCTGACTGATCTCATTTTAAGCTTCTGCTATTACATCGATGACTCTGGTCTAGCTTACCTAACTGATTGCAAGAAGTTAGTTTCCCTCAGGCTGAACTCTGCAAAAAATATAACATCAAGTGGGCTTCTCGTTGTGGCTATTGGTTGCAAGAATCTATCTGGTCTTCACCTCATCAATTGCAATAAAATCAGTGGTAACCCTGAATGGCTGAAGTACCTTGGCAGTGATGGATCATTGGAAGAACTTGTTGTAAAGAATTGTGGAGGAATCAGCCAGTACGACCTCCTATTGTTTGGTCCAGGATGGATGAAGCTCGAGAGGTTTGTGTTTGAGGTCAGTAATCTTTACAACATATTGAGACTTCGAGATCCCTCATTCGTGGCGAACTACCAGCGTAGCTATGATTTCTGCTGCGAGAGTTTGAAGGATTTGCGTTTGAGAGGGATTGCAACCGTGGAAGAAATAGGACTTCGTTCTCTTCTGGGAAAATGCAAATCATTACAGATACTTTGCCTTCATTTTGTTCTTGGTCTAACTGACAGTGACATGATCACACTCTCCCAGAACTGCAGCAACCTCAAAAGCATCTCTCTTCAGCTTGAGCCTGTTGTCGGTGTAGGACCTCAAGGTAGAGTTTTCAGGATGCCATTGACTGATGTAAGCCTCAAGGCTCTAGCCCTCGGGTGCCGTATGCTTCAGATTGTTGAGCTCGCAGTGTATTCCCGTCACACTTCTTATCCAGAAATTGGCTTCAGTCAAGAGGGCCTTGCGACGCTCTTCCAGTCTTGCCCAATTCGTGAACTTGTTCTGTGTGGTGCCAATATCTTCGATGATGAGGTGATGAAGGCCCTCTCATCTGCACAATTCCTGGAGACTCTCAAGCTTATGGATTGCAAACGGATAACTGATGCCGGGATGCGCTTGCTTGCCAATAGTTCATCTTTGGTTAACCTCACATTGCAGGATTGTCGCGGTTTTACCGATGATGGAGTCAGTGAGGTCGTACGTGCACGGAATTTGGATTCTCTGATTGTTCAAGGCTGTCGCGTTTCTTGGAAAGCTGTGAAGGGGGCTGCCAAATCTGTTCGCTATGATCGTAATTGCCCGGTCTATGGCCGTCTAAGTAGATCGAGCATGATATCCACTCTGGATTAGGTGCCCCTCAAGATTTTCAGTTGGGCTCTTTTAGATCCCCTGTTGAATTGGTTGAGTACTTGAGTTGTTGCCAGGTTCACATCATTGATTGTTGTCGGTTTCATTTTTCATATACCTGAATCTGCTTTGATTTGTTACTGTTGATGCTGATCTGTTGTAGCTTATTATGGTGAGCCTTGAATTTTCGTGAGCCATCTGTTCTGTGAAAAATCATGGTATTGGTCACTAGTATGGTACACTGCAGCTACTGATATATTTCTTGGTACTTTCATCTTTGTTTACCTTTCCAAATCCATCTATACAACTAGTTCTTTTGTTAGTGAGGTTACCCTGTTTGAATTCTGATTGTTTTTTAGAGTGTTCTAATTTGCATTTCCTCTCACAAAAATAGCATGAATACTTAGCTTTTCGTAGAATTATCAATCTGAACCACCTTTTTTTTCTGGAAAAAAATCTCTACTCTGTTCAACATTGTGGGCATATAAGCATATCGCATAGGAAATTATATCTTAACTATTTTAAAACTACTTTAAAAGCACAATCGTCTTCCTTCCTCTCTTTAAAAGAACCTTCCTCCCTACAAAAAAACCGCTTCCTCACCTTCCCAAATAAACCGGTCCAGAAAAAAACCCCAAAACCCAAATCACTGTGAAAAAACCAGCATATAAAGAAATTTAATCATATTTCTCTCTTCCAATCTCGTTATGATTCACGGGCATATATATGTAACTAACATCGAGAAAACTTCATTTTATGTGATTCCATCTATATATATATGCCTAAGCTTAAGTATTAGTAGGATTGCGGCTGCTGTGACTATTTTCACATATTTTAGCAGTTTTTGAAACTGCTCTCAGATTTAGAACTTATCCACGCCTTTTTGTTCAATTGGTTAAAGCATTTACCATGTTGAACTGCGGTCATACACACTGTTTGAAGACTATGAAAACCTTGTATGGTTAACCGGATAAGTTTGAGCGACTAAATATTATTTTTCTACAAACGAAGTGTCTTTTTTTTAATAATGCATAGATATTCAGCCTCTATATCCGCAAGGGGACATACACAGTCAAATAACATGACTGAAAATTTGACGAACTTGTGGATATCGAAGCATTGGCTACAAATTGTCATGTCTATGCTTGCTGACTACTACTCTCCGTTTCATATTATAAGACGTTTTGGTATATGTATTTCTTGTAATCTCTATTATATATGCAGTAATAAATAAAATTCGTCATCTTAAACATAATAAATACTCCCTCCATCTACTTTTGATAGTTATATTTCCAAATCTGAAAAATCTATTTTTGATAGGCATATTTCAATCCAACAACCTATCATCTTAATGTCTTTCTCGAATTTAATGCGTGATTCTCTATTCCTCCACACAAGATTGGCTACATGGACATCGAGAAATATAAATATTAATGAATCGCTTGTTCACGAGGAATGACTAGTAGCATGTTTAAATGGATGATAAGTAGAATCACTTATCGTTGGTCTGTGTGTCAAGATGAAATATGACTATCAAAAGTAGATAGAGGGAGTAATAAGTTGCTGTTCTTATGAATCGATTTGCTCCATCCCATCCCAAGAACCCAAATAGGGAGTAGTACTTGCTGAGGAAATTCACCATCCTTTGCTGCTCGATGCAAAAGCATTGGATCTTCTCTCAGCCTGTGAACGAGTACATCATCTCAGTCTATGAAGATCAACATGTCAATCATACACGCAAGTATATGAAGATCAACATGTCAACCATACACGCAAGTATATGACAAGAAGAAAGCAAGAAACCTGGCCAGCTGCATCGATTAGGGTCAAAATTACCAACTAGTGTTCACTGCATGAGTATGTAAACCTATTTGCACCTTTCAACACTGGGCTAGTATATATATCATGAGAAAAAGTGTTGCCGCTTTTTTTTTTTTTGACACGCCGCCAAACACAATTCCACGAATCACCTAAAACTTTGCGGTAGTACGGAGTCGTCAACTATCTTGACCTCGAGAAACCCTTTGATTAAGATGGATTTAGAGATCAAAAATGGGCTAGAGGAACCGATTTAGATAAATAGGGATAAACACTCATCTCGTGGACGGAACGGAATGTTTTCGGGACAAACCTACAAAGAGGATTCGCACTTTCGCAGCGAGGGCAGACGGCTTGCAACGCAAACCGACGAAGATGGATGGAACCTGGTAGATACGATATTGAAAGAATGATTTAATTGGCTATGGTGTTGGTTGTAGATTGTGTCTCAATTGAACTGGTCATAGCTCTTATAAAGAGACTGGTCTTGCCTTCTTCAGGACCTTCTCTACGTTCAATTAGGTGTAGAAACCAATTAGGACTCGAAAAATCTCAGCTCAAGCAAGAAAACCAGAGAACCGATAAAACTGGACTTGGAGTCGGACTCCGCCGATTTGACCGGCCACATGCTCAGCCTCACGTAGCAAACCGGGTCCTATCCAAATTTGGCCATATTTTCCCATTTTCGCTTCAGATGCTAAATTTGGGTGTTAACAAGAAAATACTCTGGTCGAACAAGTTCGATACAAATAATGAATTTTACCTGGCATTGAAATGGGACAAGTAGCTTTCTCCCCAGCCTCCAACAGCATAGAGTCAGTTGCCTTTCTGATTGCAGAACTGGTTCTGAATGTTCATCCAGCAGCAACTAATCCTTTTATCCCAAACCCTGTTCCATAGGTGAAACAGATACCCCGAGAGCCATACCTAATGGACAAAACAATGTGAAAATTATAGATTAAATCTATGATTTTTTTTTTTTGGGGGGGGGGGGGTCATGTACTCTGAGTACTCTCAATGAAGCCAGCAGCTTAGATTATACATTTGTCTACTTCAATTCTTCAACATAGCACATCTACTTGTACATCTGTACATATATTCAACATACCTGCCAATATTATTAACGTACAAAAAGAGAGATTTATTTATATGACCTTCAACATAGCAAAGCATTCACAAGAATGGGCAACATTTGGACGGGTTACTGCATCTAACGGATAGTCAAGAACAATATCATGAAAGATCTCAGCAGGATTGAAAAGCTGATCAATAGTTCAGAAATGTGTCAATATTGCTGAAACATATATGGTTACTACCAAGAGAAATTTTGTAGTACTTAAGGATCACTCTGTTATATTTTGTAGTACTCTGTTCCTAACTTTTAATTTGATGTTATCTTCAAATTGCCACATGCAAGGATTGAAGAATGTTCTTGAGAATTTAAGAGTACAAAGTTTTGTCAACTCTGTGTATAATGAATTTGAATATACAATTTTTCTCAATAATTTTTGGTGATATTTATTAATCGGTGTGCACGGTCAACTCAAGTCGGTCGTTATAGATCCATGCATTTGGTTCTCGAACTTGGTCATCTTAACAATCTAAACACGTTAAGAGAAGGAAAGCATGTGTGATGTGATGGTGTAATCCTAGGTATTACGCACACATGACTGCGCTTTCAATACAAATTAGTAGGGCAGTGATATGTTATTGGTCTCCGTCTTTTATGCATACATTAGAGATCCACTCGTGGTTACGTGAGTGTAGTGTTCGTGCGTGCTGGTGTGTTTTCCCTGTAATCTGAAAAAAAATACACTAGGAGCATAAAATATGGTGGGCTAGTGTCAAGCTTTATGCAGTGGTATATTTTTTCTTTTTCCTGGTTATGACCTTCACGGGATGTAATTTTGTTTTTTTTTTCTTGCTATATCAATAGAACTTCGCACCTCGCACCGTCTCGTGCGAGTAGTTAAAAAAATGCTTTATGTAGTTGTGGCTCATGATTAGCCATTAAGATCCAGACATATCTCCCTTTGCTTAGCATAAGGGCACCCGCAATGGTTATCTATAGACTCTCTATAAGAGATCCATGTCAGCATATTTTCCTACTTGGAAGAGATTAAATGAAGAGAGAGAGAGCAAAGCTATCTACTAACCTGGAGACAGTCTATAGAGAAAAACGAGGCAATATATTAGAGAGCTATAGATACCCATGTAGACAAACCATTAAAGTGGTTTACTATTAATATAGTCTATTGCTGAGATGTACATGTTTTATAGATAGCACATTACTTTACCATTGCGGGTGCTCTAAGGAGGTCTAGATCTATAGATTTGGTTGAACTTAGGCTGTTTTTGAGAAAGGGGAGATTGAGAAGATACGCAAAACGAGGTAGGCTATTAGTGCATGATTAATTGAGTATTAATTATTTCAAATTTCAAAAATAGACTAATATGATTTTTTAAAACAACTTTCTTATAGAATTTTTTTTGCAAAAAACGCATCGTTTAGTTGTTTGGAAAGCGTGCGCGGGGAAAACGATGTGCATTCTATCTCCAATCTCCCGGAACGAACGCTGCCTTAGGCTGCGTTCGTTTGGAGAATAAAGGGAGTGAGTTTGTTTCGTATTCCGCGCGCACGCTTCCTGAACTACTAAACCTTTCGTTTTTTGCAAAAATTTTCTATAGGAAAGTTACTTTAAAAAATCATATTAATCCATTTTTGAAGTTTAAAATAGTTAATACTCAATTAATCACACGCTAAGGGCTCACCTCGTTTTACGTATCTTCCCAATCTTCTCTATCTCATTCTCCTCAAACATAGCCTTAGTCATCCTAACAATCGAAATACACTAAAAGTAGGTGAAGCACATATAGTATGGTGATAAAACGTGGGTGCATGACTCTATCCATCGAGATTTAAATCCTTATGTCCACAGTTAGTGTGTGCGCTCTCAATAGAATTTTAGTAAGAACAGGGATATGCTACCGGTCTCTGTCTTTTTAGCGTGTATTAGACGGCTCACTCATGAGTGTGAGTGTGGCATGCGTGCATGTGTAATAGTAAAAAAGAAAATAAAATACGCTGGGGAGTAGGAAAAAAATGGGCCAGTGTCAAGCCCAGATGCGGTGGTGGCCCATCATTAGCCCATCCAGCCCAATTACTCTTGCTGTCCCCCTGGCCCCTCCATCTCCATGGCACAAAACCTCCGCCTCTCCATGGCTTCCCGGATCAATCCCCTTCTTCCTCCCGAGGCGAGGGTTTTGGCGAGGAGATCGAGCAGAGGATCTCTCTAGCCTCCCGCTCCGCCCAATCCACCGTAGCCGCGGCCCATTTCGTTGTCCGTCCAGCCGCGCGCCGCCGTGCCTTTTTCTTGGTTGCTGCGGTTCCAAGAAACCCCCGCCATGGCCTCCGATGGTAGTTTCTTCCGATACGGTGGTTAGTCAGTGCCCTTCTTGCGTGTGCGGTTCTTGGAATTTCTTGTTTTCTTTGTCTCTCCTAGCGATTGTTTGTTGGAGGGATAATTTTTTGCTTCTTGTCAATGGCGGTCGCCGGATGGATCAGTGGCTCGTTCGCTCCGTGTTTCTTGTAGGTTCGGTGGTTGCAGATGTCTTAAGGTGCAATTCTTGTTCGGTTTTGTTAATGATAGTTAGTTCTTGGTCGGAGAGGCAGCAATCTGTAGATGAATAATTAGGTTGCCACTCAATCGACACAGGAAAATGTTGCGGAAGTTCATGACCATATATATATGCTTCTTGATGAGTTTCTCTACTGTCGATGGCGGATAATTCTGCAGCTCCTTGTTAATGGAGGTTGCTGGATCGGTGGATATGACCATTTTATGCTTCTTGAATGTTCAGGTTGCAGATATCTAGGTTTAATTCATGTTCGATTTAGTTGATACTAGTTAGTTTTTGCTCGGAGAGGCAGCAGTCTGTAGACAAATAGTCAGGTCTCCACCTTAATTAATATTTCAGTTGACATAAAAATATTGGGAAGTTCATGACCGTATATATGCTTCTTGAAGAATGTCTTGTCTATACTGTATTTCGATCACCTTTGATATGCATCCTTCTGATCCGATTAATTTCGGTCCAGAGCGCCAGATAGCAGCTAAACCTGAAGATTGCCCAGCAATGTCATCAATGTTGTCATTGGAGGATCTCCCGGATGCATTGCTCGCAGAGATTGTAAAGAGGATTACCAACACAAGTGACCTGAAGTCCATTTCCCTTGTGTCAAAGCGTCTGTACACTATCGAGGCGGAGCAAAGAAGTTCTATCCGTGTTGGCTCTGACCTTTGTCCAGCGATAGATGCCTTGTCAGCACTCTGTTCCCGATTCCCCAATTTGTTGGAAGTAGAGATGGACTACTCTGGTTGGAAATTTCACTGGAATCTGCTAGAAAAACATATTTTCTCATTGCACTTCCCTGTCCTGCGTGATCTCACCTTATACATTGATGATATTCGTATGGGTTGTCTAGCTTCTTGCAAAAATTTGATGTCCCTCAGGTTGAACTCTGTATCAGCGATAGGCTCATGTGGACTTCTCTCGGTGGCTGTTGGTTGCAAGAATTTAACTTCTCTCCACATTATTAAGTGCAACCATATTGTTGGCAGTGATAAGTGGCTGGAGTACATTGGCAGTGCTGGGTCACTGGAAGAACTTGTAGTGAAGAACTGCAAGAGAATCAGCCAGTATGATCTCCTAAAATTTGGCCCTGGATGGATGAAGCTCAAGAAGTTCGAGTTCAAGTTCAAGAGAAGTTTCAACACATATGAACCTCGTGACCCCTGTTATGTGGATAACTATCAGTATGGATATGATTTCTGCTGTGAAAGTTTGAGGGATGTCACTTTGGCTACGATTGTAACTAAACCAGAGATAGGACTTCGCTGTCTCCTGACAAAGTGCAAAGCATTAGAGAGACTCTGCCTTCACTATGTAATTGGCATAAGTGATCATGACATCATTACAATCTCCCAGAACTGCAGCAACCTTAGAAGCATCTCACTTTCTCAAGAGATGCTGCTCTGTGAAATACCTGGAGGCACAGGCGTAATGGCTAGGACACCACTGACTGATGACAGCCTCAATGCTCTAGCCCTGAGATCTCATATGCTTGAAGCTGTTGAGCTTATGTTTTATGGTTGTGCTCCTGATTGGCCATCTGAGATAGCCTTCACACAGGATGGCCTTGTGACACTCCTCCAGTCCTGTCCGATTCGTCATCTCGTGCTACGTGGTGCTAACTTCTTTGATGATGAAGGGATGGAGGCTCTCTCATGTGCACAATTCCTGGAGACACTGGAGCTTATGCAATGTGTTGCGGTAACTGATGTCGGGATGCGCTTTCTTGCACAAAGCCCATGTTTGAAGAATCTCACGCTGCAGATGTGTTACGAGGTTACTGATGATGGAGTGTGTGAGGTGGCTCATGCACGGGATTTGGAGTCTCTCACTGTTGAAAGCTGTAATCAGATTTCTGTAGAAGCTTTGCATGGGGCCGCCAAATCCGTTCACTACAAAGTTGATTGCCCAAGCTACTACGATCGATATAAAGATTAGGTCATTGCTGACTGTACATCATTTGTAGTTGCTTTTTCAGTTTTACCTTTCCACCATCTTTCTGTACTTGCTGTTGCCACGTCCTTATACCGCTTATTGTTCTCAATTAAACCAGTGTTTAATGGTTATCTTTTGATTTATGCAGGTACTACGTGTGATGAGTGAAAACTGGGATCATTTACTGCAACTGTGCTGTATACCATATTATATGATCTTGCCAATAACAATCTCAATTTGGCCTGTAAGCAGTACTACTGTTTAGCTTTGGGAGTGTCTGCAACTATCAACTCTTTTGTCGACGAAGCGCTACAGAAAGGTGGAAGTGGAACTACTGCCAATCGTCTCAGACTTTCAACATTTTCCTTTTGTGTATGCCACCTTCATTGTTATGGCTTACAAGAAACGTTTCAGGATATAATTGTGCCTACATCTTTAACAGACGATTATATGTTTCTATCACGTTTTGTTTCTGTGCCTACTCTAACCTCTGTGAACTGATCTTTTCGCTTCCTACAAAACTGGTCCGAAAGGCATTGGATCATTGGGTGTAGTCAACAATGTACACTGCATTACCTGCTTATAGTACAATATAAGATGTTTATTCATATGGTTTCTTCGTATGAAAAGCTGGTCTGTTATTGTTAAATTATGATTTCATGAAATATGTAGTCTTGAGATTTACAGGCAGTGTTTCAATTTCAGGTCGAAATTTCTGAAATTTTGGGTTTACAGTCGATCCTGGTTTCTCTCGTTGAATTTTTTTTTCTGAATTAGCTAAAGTTTGCTAAAATTTAGCCAAAATCCTCTATAGTTTCAATTGAAACTTCTGAAATTTCGGTCTCGCCCGGAATAATTATGCATCCCAGAACATTGAATCTTTCAGGTATAACTGGAGTAAGTTTTCAGGACATGCCTGCGTAACTTGCTACCTGTGAAATTGGAGACAAAACTCCATAACTCCGATGCATAATTCTTATCAGTATCTGCAAATTCTTTGCATTTTAACAGGTTATTAGGCGTGGTCTTTTTCTTGCACGCGTATGTCAGTGGCTAACTCCATACTACTATTCATTAAATCTTGAAAAATTTCAAGTTGTAATTTGCTTTCCACAGGCATATGTACCATTTTAGCTGGAACCTGGATGAAGATTGGATGGTTGGAGCTGATCATATTTCAAGGGCGGCCAGTTCTAGAGACATCAATTTAGTGAACATTTTATTATTATTGTTGTTTGATCGGGTGAACGTTTCATTTGAAGCATCACTTTGTTGTTAACTTGTGAGCATCCTCCTCATTGGCAAAACCCTCCTTATAGAGTTGTGGAGAGAAAACTGGGACATCGCTGCTCTGTTTTGGCGCCGGAAAACACAAAGATTGTTCATGTTCCCTTCCTCCAAAAAGAAATCTTGCCCTCTCCTTGTCACCTCTTCACAGCCAAAAACTTCGTATGCAACAAGACATGCTACAAACTTCCAACTTTGTTGCCAATCGAGATTGATCATTTTCTGCTAGTGAGGCTGAGTTTAGGGTGTGTTTAGTTCCCGCTAAAATTGAAAGTTTGATTGAAATTGGAACGATGTAACGGAGAAGTTGGAAGTTTATGTGTATAGGAAAGTTTTGATGTGATGGAAAAGTTGAAAACTAAACCAGGCCTTAGTTCTAAAATTTTTTCTTCAAACTTCCAACTTTTCCATCACATCGAAATTTTTCTACACACACAAACTTCCAACCTTTTGTCACATCATTCCAATTTCAACCAAACTTTCAATTTTGGCGTGAACTAAACACACTCTGAGATTGAAGAAAAAACTGACGCATTTGTGAGCATTTATTTCAGGGCACTTATTTTAGCTAGGGGAATTTATTTCAGGGCATTGCTTTTGTTCTTGTCAGTTAGATCCTATGCACAAATCACAATATCTTTTGATTTTGATTTATGATATGGCTTGAAAACTTCATCATACTTTGCCGTGAATGATGCTAGTTGAAACTCATGAATTGCCTGATGGAATGCATTGCTTTGTTTGCTGCATGGCCAAATCGAATACATGCATTGCTATGTTCATTGCAATTGTAATAAAGTTCCAAATCCCAGGCAGAAAGCATGCTGAGTTGTTGCTGATTGTTGCATCCATTATGCGAAGCCCAAGGCGGCAGTAGGAATTAACCCATGGATGGCAGCGACGCGTACCGGCGAGAATTTAGCATGGTGCCTCAACATTTTTACCACCTAATGCACATACCTCTATACTACTCCCTCCGTGTTTTAACGTATGACGCCGTTGACTTTTCGACAAACGTTTGACTATTCGTCTTATTCAAAAATTTTATGCAAATATGAAAATATTTATGTCATGCTTAAAGAATATTTGATAATGAATCAAGTCACGATAAAATAAATGATAATTACATAAATTTTTTGAATAAGATGAATGGTCAAACATTGGACAAAAAGTCAACAGCGTCATACATTAAAATACGGAGGGAGTACCATATATTATTAGGACGGTTAATTAGTCTATTTAGTACTCCCTCCATCTATTTTTGATAGTCATATTTTCAAATCTGAAAAATTTATTTTTGATAGGCATATTTCAATCTAACAACATATCCTCTTAATGACTTTCTCGGATTTAATGCGTGACTCTCCATTCTTCCACACAAGATTGGCTACATGGGCATCGAGAAATGTAAATATTAATGAATCGCTTGTTTATAAGGAATGACTAGTAGTATGTTTTAATAGATGATAAGTAGAATTACTTATCCTTGGTTTATGTGCCAAGATGAAATATGACAATCAAAAGTAGATGGAGGGAGTATATTAGTAGTCCTAATGATATACTTCGTATTATAGAGTGCATGTAGATTGGGTGGTAAAAAAGTCGAGCCACGTCAATTTGATGGTAAATTCGCTGCTTCATCAAACTTTGCAGGTACACGTGCTGCCAGTTGCTGGGCTTTCATGGGCTGTGATGGGCTGGTTTCCGTGGGCTGTTGAGTGGGTGTGCGCACGAGCCGTTGGATCGGCTTGGACGATGGATATTACACTTGACTGCACGCTGGTATCTGAGGATCCTACTCCCCCAGTCCCCCGCGAGCGAGCAGAGGCGGCGCCGTCGCTCGTCCTCCGCCACCGCCGCCGGCGCCGATACCCATCCATCCCGCGCCGCGAGCGAGTGCTTCCGCCGCATCCATCCTGGTTAGCACACCCTCTTTCCCATCTCTCTCTCTCTACTCACGCACCTACCGAATTCGCGTTAACCCTAGCTTCTGTTCTAGAAATTTTGCCTTAACCTTAGTACTAATTTCTTCCCAAAAAGTTTTGGGGTGTCCCATGTTAGATCCGTCCATGAATTAAGCTGCCTGTCGAACCGGTTATTCTCTGGTATAACTCCTGTCAATGTACTCTGCCTCAGTTCTTGATTGGGAAACCTTTCCTTGCTAGTTGCTACCTAATTTTCAGTTTTTCATCATTGTACTTCAGCTTGTGACTTACTGGATTAATCAGTTGGGATGGAGTATATGTTGGATGAACTCGTATAAATTGGTAGTATGCAAATTTTGGAGACTCATAATTGTGAGAGTTATCTAGCTTTATTTGTTGCCGTTCACTTGTTTCTCTAGTCAAAGATGCTTGTCTTGAAGTTGATGATGTTAGCCTTTTTAAGATTCAATCAATGATGCTAAAGTATTTATTCAATATACTAATTGCAATTAGGGTTGTTCGCCCATTTACAACTGGTGTAAACGAGCTTAGCTTAGCTGTCGCGTGCTTGCTGAAAATGAATACAGCCAGTTGTTCGGTCAAAACCTCCGATGAACAGCCCTTATTGCAACATAGTTGTATCTGTCATAAGATTATCTTCTCTATTTTTGTTATGCCGTGGGCTTATTGACTGAGGTTGTAATCGTGCAAAACAGGAGGACAGGGTACTGGGTGTGGGCAGGCAGGCACTGAAACTGGACTACACTCTAGCTTCTTAGTGATTACCTCTAGATCAGCTCAGCAAATAGATGCTATTAACCACTTTGTTTACAACTTTACATGCATGATAATCGTTTTTGTATCCTGAACATGAGAATTTGAAATTTGTAGTAGGTGTCAATTACTTCACCAAGTAAAGTAGCTGGAAACATATACTAGTAGCCATGCGGGAGTCTGGTCTTCCAAATCAATCAAACAATCTGTGACTGGGTATCATATTGCACATTAATATGTATGCTAAAGGTCCTATGTTTAAACTGTTACTAGAAGTGCTTATATTTGTTTGCCTTCCTGCTGCTCTTGTACTATATTCTAGATTCAAATGTACAACATCTTATTGCTCATGTAAACATTAAATACTAATTGTAACTGTCTAAATTTCTTCAGAGTTTTTAGTGCTTACTAAATTTCTTCAGATTTTCCGTTTGCTGTCTAAAACTCTTAAAAGCATCATGTTTTCATGAGAAAGCTAACGTTTACAGTCTCCTGGTGTGAAGGGCATTTGCAATCAGTGACAAAAGTTCCTCAGCTGTGGAGCCATGGCCGCCAAGATACGCATAGTGATGAAATCTTTTATGAGCCAAGCTAACAAAGTTGAAGGGGTTATTCCATACGCGCAGAAGGTTGGATTGCCTGAATCACGATCCTTGTATACCGTGCTACGATCGCCTCACATAGACAAGAAGTCGAGGGAGCAGTTCTCGATGCATGTCAAGAAACAATTTCTGGTACAGAAGGCGGAGACGCACGAGCTGCAGAAGAAGCTGTTCTGGTTGAAGCGCCTGCGCCTGCTTGGTGCTCAGTATGAACTCCAGATCAGTTTCAAGACCCGTTTGGACAAGAAGCTGCTCCAAGCTGCTTTGTCGTCAGGTTGCTAGAGCACTTCACTTACCACCATTCACCCTTGAACAAGACTGCTTTTGCTTCTATGATGTCTTCATGATGAGATTGTCAAACAGTACTTGCATCCATTAAGCATTTCATATGATGAAACTACACCATTTGGAAGAGTTTGAAGGAATGTAGTAGTAATCCATCCAAAACGTTCAGATGCTCTGAATTATGAAGATGTGGCATGATATGAAACAGATATCCTTCCGTTTCCGGGCTTCTCTTTGGTTTTGTTCCGAATGCCGTTTAACAAGTCATGACATTCCTATACTTTGCTCCCTGTGTTAAGATGTTTTAGGGTTGTCTGTAAGTCAAACTTTTTCAAGTTTGCTTAAATTTATAGAAAAAAGATTTTTACACAAAATAATTATACCAGGAAAATATATTCCATGGTAGATCTAATGTAACCAATTTGGTGTTATAGATGTTACTACATTTTTCTATAAATTTGATTAAATTTAAAGAAGTTTGATTTAGAGCAAAACCTAAATATCTTGCAAAGTATCTTTCTTCGTTTGTTCTTGATTCTAATAATGCACATGAATCTATGAGAAAAACCGGGTACAGTGGATGGAAATGGAGATGAGCTGTCAATTTGTATTTTATATGGAAATAAGCCGCTTTAGACCCCCTTTGATTCAAAGGAAATTCATAGGAATTTTAAAGGATTTCATTCCTATAGGAATTTTTCCTATATAGCCCTTTGAATCAAAGGAATGAATACTATGGAAATTTAGCATGAGGTGGAATCTCATGTTAAGAATCCTTTGAGTCTTTTATCTCTCCTCAAATTCCTGTGTTTTTCCTACGGCTCAATCAAACGGTCATTTCTATGTTTTTCCTGTGTTTTGTAATCCTCTGTTTTACACTTGTATTCCTGTGAGAATCCTATGTTTTTCCTATTCCTCCGTTTTTTCATTCTTGTGATTCAAAGGGAGCCTTAGCTTGAGTTGGGCACTCCACTTTCTCGACATACACTTCCTTATTTTTCGCATGCATATGCCTCCTAAATTGTTCAATGAAACTTTTTTTTTTCACAAAAAGAATTATATATCAAAGTTACTTTGAAAATATTAATCTATTTTTCAAAATATTTTAACTAATACTTAATTTATCATGTGCTAATTTTAATCATGCGCTAGTGAGTAACTTTTTTTTGTCATAGAGAGAGAGATGGTTCTGAATCATCACTGTAGAACAAAGCCTAAAGTAGTCTATCACATTGTTGGTCAAGAGTTATTATTATTTTCTAAATCATTTGAATTTGAATTTTTTAAAAAATAAACTCTTCCAAAACTTGTTTTCATATATGATGTTTGGGATAATTGCATCTATATCCCCGCTTTTAATCCCAACTGTTGTTTTACCCTTACTTTTTATGGTTTGAAATTTTACCCTCACTACGAACCAACCGTTTGCCCCCACTTGTAACGCCCACTTGGTGGGTCCCACATTTATGTGTTAAAGAAACACAAATGGAAATTAAAAAGAGTATTATGGAATATAATTTACCATTCTACCCCTGAATGAATGGATAGGGATGAAATCCCTCTCTTCCCCACTGAGTGTGGCTGTGCCTGTGGACACCCGAAACCCTAGACCTATAGACGGCGGCAGCAGTTCGGGCATGTGCGCGGCGGCAGCGAGCGTGGGACGGCGCTCCGGCGAGTCTCCGGTGGGGCGGCGGTTGTGGGGCTTCCCACGGTGGCCGCTCCTAGGCGCGGCGAGTGGTGGCCAAGCGCAATGAGGTAGGGCGCGATGAAGGCAGGCGTCAGGCGACGACCATGGGGCGTGACGAGGCAAGCGATGGCTGCAGGCAGGCGGAATGGAGGAAGGTGAGGGGCGGGAGGAAATGCTTAAGTGGAGGAAATCCTATCAATGGAGCAAATTTTCATGGAAGAGGTTAACAAGTGAATTGATTCTTGTCATTGTGGGAGGCCTCAGTCTACCGGACGAGGGGGGCCAGCACGGATGCGGGGCAGCTTGCACCGGACAAGGAGCGACATGGGCTGGGCCAAAGAAAAGGAAGGGAGAGTGGAGTGGGTGGAGAAGAGGACTTATTTTTGCAACAAAAAACCCACATATTTTGGAAACTCTCTATTAAGGGAATTTGGTTTATTTTTTGTTCCATAAAAAATGTTTCACCTAATGAAACATTCCATTACAATAAAAAAAAAACCACTGTAACATACCCGAATTCTAGGATTAAGGAATTTCCATCAAAACTAGTTGAAGGGAAAGTTCTTCAATTTTGTAAACCAAAAAGTTTCATATTTAAACCTAGGTGAAGTTGATTTAACTCTTGCATGAATAAAATTTGAGAACAAATTAAAACTTTTTCATCTTTAACCTAGGACAAAAATATAAACCCAAGTGAAAGCATGCATTACTCGCATAAATCATATTTTGACTTGAGTCCTTCATGTGCATTTGAATCTTTGATTTGCATTTCATAATAGGTCTCATGAATATTAACTAAGATCTAAATAAACAACTAAACCATTAGGGCGTAGTGATAGCTAGAGGAAGTTAAAATAGAAACCATACACCTTAAAATATATCAACATGGCTAATGTCAAACCTCACAAAACTAATTTGGACATCCATCTGAAGACTTGTCATGAACATGAAAGTGAACAAATAAATTATATCATATAGGGTATATTCTATCTTAATCATCTCTATAAGCATTCTCTTAATTTAATACTAAAGTAAACTTATGCATTAAATAGGTAAGGAGCTTATGACATGTGTAAGGTAAACTGTAATTCTAACATATCAATATCACCTCAGGTTAATGAGAGTCCAAATATAACTTTTATAAACATTTAGATGCATTTAGGAAAGGGAAGCACATATAAGACATAAGTCTTGCTAATTATCTAAAATAATTCGTGCAAGATAAAATCATGGGAAAATTCATGTAGGCTCTACTCGACACATACAACTCACTGTAATTTTGGTATAATTTAATAACTAAATTTGGTACCTCAAATAAATCAGTCAAACTAATAAAAACTAGATTAACTGTAGTTCTTAATCGGCTAAAATCATACTTTGTCTAAAAGTGCATTTAACTGCATAAAAGTGTATAAGTAAAATAATTTATTCAAATACTAGGTCATTTATCATGAATAAAAATAATTTTTCCAGAATTTATCTTCTCTGTTTAGGTCTCCTAAAAATTCGAACTAATTTCCAAAGAACCTATATTCCTCTAATTTCTGTGAGTAATCTATCCATAAATTTTAAGTGCAACCAAAGAAAATGGAATCTAGGTATCTTCATCTACTTTCAAAAAAATCCACACCAAATTATTCTACCCACAAATTAAATAATTGAATTACTAAAGTGGGAGAGAGAAATAATCCTGAAAATCATTCAAACCTTTTGTTCACCCACGTTTCTGCCCAACCCTCTCACCCTAGCTTAGTTTGCCATGACCTGGACCCACTTGGCAGCCACTCTGGCTCATCCTCACCCTGTGCAAATCTTCCAGCCAACCAGAGACAGCCGAGAGAGAGAGATTGGCGCCGGCTGTGTACGACGCGTGGGCTCGACGTGGCAGCGCCGAACCGAGGCTTCACCTCCACCCAGCTGCGTCGCCACTCTTCACCCACCATCCCAGTGCCGATCCAACCGAGGGAGGAAGCTCCAGCTCTCCCTCTCCACCTCTCTTTTGTCGCCGGCCGCCAAGAAGAGGGACATCGCCAACCATCGTCGAGCTCTCTCCATCTCTAACTCATACTCGTTCCATTCTCATCTCACCATGCCGAACAACTTTAGTTTTGATCCCATTCCATTTCATCTTCTACAGCAACGGGAACGCCGCCATGTCATGGTCGCTCTAGAGCGTGCTCTGTGCACCGCCGCAGCGACATCATCGCCGTTCCCGCTTATCTGGACCAAGCCGGGCCAAGCTGTCGCGCCAGCGTTTTCGCCTTGACCTCCTCTCCATTTCCCGTCAAGAATCTCGAAGGATGGTGCTACGAGTGCGGAGATCGGCTACCGTCTTCTTCACCTCCGGTTGCCGTCGCCATTGTCGATTCCGCCTCCTCCGGTGAGCCATTGTCCGATTCTTCGCGTATACACCATCCCTGGGACCTCACTAACCCAATGAAAACACATGCATGTCAATTCGATGATTGGATCGAGCCGTTGCCGTCTTCCCGGAGCTCTACACCGTCGCCGGACCATCTTCTTCACCGCTGCCGCTGTCCAGACTTTCCCGCGCCTCATTCAAGGTTCGGTGAGCACCCTTGAGCCATAGGATTGCATTCATGCATTTCATTCACTTAGAATCGAGCACGAACTCAACATGCAGTAGCAGCCTAAGCACAGCCGCCGCTCGGACTCGCCGCCGGCGTTACTCCGATGTCCACTGACCGAGAAAAGTAGAGGAATGGAATCGAAATAGCAAGATCTTCATTTTGTCTTTTGGTCGCACCCTCAAACGAGCCACCGTTTGCCGCTGGCAAGCTTGAGATCGAGCTCAGCCATGGCTTGATCTGCTTCAGCTCGAACCAGGGACCTCCTCACAAGAATTTAGGTTAATATAGGGTCCTTTCTGCAAAAGATCAAGACACACAGAACAGTCATAGGACTGCGGGTTGATTTCCTGAAACTCTAGGGGCCTTCTTGCATATTGGCCTGGGACTGACAATCCACCCCTAGGAACAAAATCTGAAATTATAAAAGAACAGTAACTAAAACTTGTAAAATCCATATAAAATTAAATCTAGCTCATTTTAAGATGATTCAAATTTCTGTGAACTCATCAAATTGGGAAATTTGATGCTATGGAATAAAAACTTGAATTCACAGTACAAATTTAGCCTCTAAAATTTATCCAAATTAAATCACACATAAAGCATGCACAAACTTATAAAATGCATACAAAATTCATTTCAAATAATTTCAGAGCAAACTTAGTTTCTACAGATCCACCAACATGTTCTCTAAAAAAAAGTAAAATAAAACATCTACACATTTTGCATCAAATGCCTCTAAAACTATTATCTTTAAAAATAACTAGTTTTATATAAGCTGAACTTTAGAAGTTCATATAAAATTCATCTTAGATCCTTTTTTAGTAAACCCAAGTTCTGTAGAATCACCAAAACATATACTTCCAAATTATAAAATAAAATTATATACTTACTGTATGATAAAAGCCTCTAAATGCTTATGTAAGTAATAACCAACATAGAGCAACCTTAAATTGT